TGTACAGAGGCCCATCATCAGCAACCATCAGTTCTGTGTTCCAATGGCACGTTGTGTTTGCTAATCCAAGTTTATCATTTTAAAAGGCTAATTGATCATTAGAAAACCCTTTTGCAATTATGTTAGCACAGCTGAAAACTGTTGTGCTGATTAAAGCAGCAATAAAACTGGCCTTCTTGAGACTAGTTGAGTATCTGGAGCATCAGCAATTGTGGTTTTGATTACAGGCTCAAAATGGCCAGAAACAAAGTACTTTCTTCTGAAACTCGTCAGTCTATTCTTGTTCTGAGAAATGAAGGCTATTTTATGCGAGAAATTGCCAAGAAACTGAAGATCTCGTACAACGCTGTGTACTACTCCCTTCACAGAACAGCGCAAACTGGCTCTAACCAGAATAGAAAGAGGAGTGGGAGGCCCCAGTGCACAACTGAGCAAGAGGACAAATACATAAGAGTGTCTAGTTTGAGAAACAGGCGCCTCACAGGTCCTCAACTGGCAGCTTCATTAAATAGTACCCGCAAAACACCAGTCTCAACGTCAACAGTGAAAAGGCAACTCCGGGATGCTGACCTTCTAGGCAGAGTTGCAAAGAAAAAGCCATGTCTCAGACTGGCCAATAAAAATAAAAGATTAAGATGGGCAGTCTGAGATATGGCTTTTTCTTTGCAACTCTGCCTAGATGGTCAGCATCCCGGAGTCGCCTCTTCACTGTTGTACGAGATCTTCAGTTTCTTGGCAATTTCTCGCATGGAATAGCCTTCATTTCTCAGAACAAGAATAGACTGATGAGTTTCAGAAGAAAGTTATTTGTTTCAGGCCATTTTGAACCTGTAATCAAACCCACAATTGCTGATGCTCCAGATACTCAACTAGTCTCAAGAAGGCCAGTTTTATTGCTGCTTTAATCAGCACAACAGTTTTCAGCTGTGCTAACATAATTGCAAAAGGGTTTTCTAATGATCAATTAGCCTTTTTAAATGATAAACTTGGATTAGCAAACACAACGTGCCATTGGAACACAGGACTGATGGTTGCTGATAATGGGCCTCTGTACGCCTATGTAGATATTCCAATAGCCTCCTGTAGCTCAGTTGGTAGAGCATGGCGCTTGCAATACCAGGGTTGTGGGTTTGATTCCCATGGGGGGCCAGTATGAAAAATGTATGCACTCACTAACTGTAAGTCGCTCTGGATAAGAGCGTCTGCTAAATGACGTAAATAACAATCAGCCGTTTCCAGCTACAATAGCCATTTACAACATAAAAAATGTCTACACTGTATTTCTGATCAATTTGATGTTATTTTAATGGACAAAAAAATTGCTTTTCTTTCAAAAACAAGGACATTTCAAAGTGACCCCAAACTTTTGAACGGTAGTGTAGATCGCCAACACTAAATATAATACCCACTGCTATGTATTCATCTAACAGTACATATTTAAATAGTTGCTATTGAGCTCAATATTAAGAGATGACAAATAAAAATGATACCCACAGAAAGCTGTGAACAACAGTAGTTGCTTCCAAAGCTATATACGGTATGTATATCAGAAGCCTTTTTTCTCTCCCGGAGTGCACATCAAGAGGCTCGCTCATCACGGCAGCAGGCCCCAGTGGAACAGGCCCCAGTAGAACAGGCCCCAGTGGAACAGGCCCCAGTGGAACAGGCCCCAGTGGAACAGGCCCCAGTGGAACAGGCTCCAGTGGAACAGGCCCCAGTGGAACAGGCCCCAGTGGAACAGGCTCCAGTGGAACAGGCCCCAGTGGAACAGGCCCCAGTGGAACAGGCCCCAGTGGAACAGGCCCCAGTGGAACAGCCCCCAGTGGAACAGCCCCCAGTGGAACAGGCCCCAGTGGAACAGGCCCCAGTGGAACAGCCCCCAGTGGAACAGCCCCCAGTGGAACAGGCCCCAGTGGAACAGGCCCCAGTGGAACAGGCCCCAGTGGAACAGGCCCCAGTGGAACAGGCCCAGGAGCTGGGCAGACACTTTCATTACAGCAATAATGAGGATAATGCACTGTTTGACCAAATAATGGTTTTAGCCGTGTTGAAGCACCTTTGGCAGTGATTACAGCATCAAGTCTTCTTGGGTATGACGCTACAAGCTTGGAACACCTGTATTTGAGGAGTTTCTCCCATTCGTCTCTGCAGATCCTCTCCAGTTCTGTCAGGTTGGATGGGGAGCGTCGCTGCACAGCTATTTTCAGGTCTCTACTCCACCGGCAGAGTAGCCAAGGCATGTGCCTTATTTGCATCAATGATTTGTTGCCGCCGGATTGGAGAATGGTTGCCGGGCAGAGAGGTGACTCGTGAATAACCTGGGCATGGTACTTATTTTCTACCAATAACAGCATTGCAACATTGAGTAACAGTGAGAAAGCCTTACAATTCTGAAAATGCCATGCATGCTTTTGATTGGACCAAACAAATAACACTGAAAAGCTCTCAATCTCTCCCCAAAAAAATATTGTCCAGTCCATTTACTAATCACAGAGATAATTTAGTCAGCCGAAATGAAAAATTATTTTTGTTTAGTAATAGTTTTTTTCTGGGTCTATTCAATCAGTTATCGTCTCGTCAATTTGCCACTGTAAAATAGTTTTAGGTGTTTGACAAATATTTTCATCACTATTTTCACATATTTTAACACACACGCACACACACTAACCCACATACCTGACGTGCACACTGCACATAAAGGAGCATAATCAATAACATGTTTAGGTAATAGGCACACTTACACAAACACACACACACACACACTATTTTATTGACTGTCTTGCTTGGTTACAACAACATTTTGTCCTCATCACTCAAACACAAGAGTTACACAGACAGTCCAGCTCAACATCTGGGGGAAACATTCCATAAAACAACATGTTGTGTCTTTGTTCCCCATCTTTACCGCACTCACCTGGTTCAAGACCATACAACTCAAATGGGTTGTTTTATTACAGTGATGCAGACACACTCGCTCTGTGGCCGTCGGATAGGCAAGGCTTAGTGTGCTCCTGACCTCTGACCCCTGGTGAAATAGTGTTCTAGCGTCAATGTGACACGGTGTACCATGGGATATCAATAATGTGACACGGTGTACCATGGGATATCAATAATGTGACATGGTGTACAATGGGATATCAATAATGTGACATGGTGTACAATGGGATATCAATAATGTGACATGGTGTACAATGGGATCAGGCCAACCGGTGGTTTTACTAGTTCACATACCTGCACTTTTATTGGCCTCTCAGGTGAACTTTGGCCACCACTCTGCTCTGCACCAATAGCAGGGCTGTGTTTTTGTCATTTAGTTATTTTCTGTGCGTAGGAAGGGAAATTATAAGTGTCTTGTTAAGATATCAAGCTACAAACAGCCATATTAACATATCAAGCTGGCACAATTGCCAAACACCACTACTGCATTCAGTAGTGAGACAGAAGAAAACAATTACTCTCTCTTCTTTTGCCATCTGTTGTATTGCTTTCATTCTCTCGTTGCCGCTGGTTTACATAAGGTGTGTTGGTGTGTGTGTGTGTGTGTATGTTTGAGTGTGAGAGAAGGGCCAATCAATATCTGTTACACCGCCAGGCTCAGTTCTAATGGAAGGCTTCAGTCAGATATTTGAGAGCATCAGACATATGTGATCTAGTGAAAGGCTTCAGTCAGATAGTTGAGTAAAGGCTTCAGTCATATAGTTGAGTAAAGGCTTCAGTCAGATAGTTGAGTAAAGGCTTCAGTCAGATAGTTGAGTAAAGGCTTCAGTCTGATAGTTGAGTAAAGGCTTCAGTCAGATAGTTGAGTAAAGGCTTCAGTCAGATAGTTGAGTGCATCAGACCTGTGTGCGGTGTTGTCGTTATAACATGGAGTGAAGTATATGAGTTGTGCTTTTCTGTGTAATACCGTCCTATCCCTCCTTCCCACAGATAAAGAGGAACTCTTCCAGAATGTATTGACACAAGTGGCAGAGCAGTTTTCCAGGTAAGAGCACTGATATTGCTTTCATGGACATTTTGTGTCTTGCCTTCGTAAATGCTTTTTGTTCTCTTGTTTTCGTAAAGGCTTGCTATTTATCTGTCACTATATTAATGGATGTGCTGCTTTCAGATAATGAACGTTCTCTGTTCCTTTTGTTCTCTCTCTTTCTCTTTGTTCTATGTTTTACGTACTAATCGGAAAAGGGGAGAGGAGAGAGGAAAGAGGAGGAAGAGAGGAGGGGGAAAAAAAAAAGGGGCCAAAAAGGGAAAAAAAAAAAATAAGGGGGAAAAAAGAGTAAACCCCGGGGGAAAAACGCCTGGGCCCTTGCCAAGGGCTTTTTTAAAAATATCCCTTTTTGGGGGGGTGCTGCCCCCTTTTTTTCACCCCTTGGGGGGTTTTTTAAGGGGCTTCTTTTTCCTCTTCCTTCCTTTCTCTCTCTCCCATCCTCATTCCCCTACCCCTCCCTCTCTTCTTTCCTCTCCCTTTTTTCTTCTCTCTCTCTCTCTCTCTTTCATCTTCCTCTTTCCCCCTTTTTTCTCCTTCTTTCTCTCTTCTCTCTTCCTCTCTCCCTTTTTTTTCCCCTTTCGTCCACCTTTTTGCCCCCTTTTTTTTTGGGGGCTTTAAAAAAAAGGGGGGGAGAATCGGCTCTTGTTTGTGCACTCTTTTATCTGCACTTATCAAGGATGTGCTGTTAGATGAAGAAGCGTTCGCGAGTGGGAGCAGAGAGAGAGAGACAGGAGGAAGAGAGAGAGGGGAAAGAGCGGAGAGGAGAGATGAGAGAGAGACAAGAGAGAGAGAGGAGGGAAAGGAGATAGAGAGAAGAGGGCAGGGACGGAGGAGAGAGAGACGTAGAGGGAAGAGAGCAGGGAAAAGAGAGAGAGAGCGGGAAAGAGAGGCCGAGAGATGCGAGAGAGAGAGAGACCGAAGAGCAGAGAGCGAAGGATCTATCCACGCGGAGGATAGGAAGGATGTAGCAATATATGGTCAGCGAGGCAGAGAGAGAGGAAGAAAATGACGCCTAATGCAAAGACGCAGAGAGCGAGAGAGAGAAGAGGAGAGAGAGGAGAGGAGAGAGAGAGACGAGAGATACGGGAAGATAGGGGAAGAGAGTCTGGAAAGCAGAGAGTCTATGACTGGTCAAGCGATAGCGAACTATATGTGCAATATACGCTGTCATAGTCTACTTCGCAGAGATGATAGACTCTTTTATTATCTTGCTTAGTAAAACTCTCTCGCTCTCCTACATATCTCTCTGGGTCAATCTCTCTTCAGCTCCTCTCTATGCATCTCTCTCTCTCGCTTATCTCTTCATCTTCTCCCCTCTGTCTCTCTATCTCTCTACTCTCTCTCTCTCTCTATCTCTTTCTCTCTCTCTCTCTCCTTCTCTATGCTCCATCTCTCTCTCTCTCTCTGTCCATCTCTCTTTTTGATTCCATCTCCCCTCTCCTCTGTCCATCTCTATTTTCCTCTCTTCTATGTCATCTCTCTCTCTCTCTCTCTCTCTCTCTCTCTCTCTCTGTCCATCTCTCTCTCTGTCCATCTCTCTCTTTCTCTGCAGAGCGTTTAAAATCAACGAGCTGAAGACGGAGGTGACCAACCGCTTGGCCATGTTGGAGAAGAGAGTTGAGCGTGAGTCACACAGTACTGTGTCTGTCTGTGTGTTTATTTCTCCCCGGAGAGGAGAGACACTCTTATATCACAGTGAATTTGGTTTCTCCCCAGAGAGGAGGCAGCCTCTTATATCACAGTGAGTTTCTCCCCAGAGAGGAGGCAGCCTCTTATGTCACAGTGAGTTTCTCCCCAGAGAGGAGGCAGCCTCTTATGTCACAGTGAGTTTCTCCCCAGAGAGGAGGCAGCCTCTTATATCACAGTGAGTTTCTCCCCAGAGAGGAGGCAGCCTCTTATATCACAGTGAGTTTCTCCCCAGAGAGGAGGCAGCCTCTTATATCACAGTGAGTGCATGTCCTGTTACCTGCTACGGGAATAGTAAGGGGACTGCAGAGCAGATACACTGAAATGCAGACAATAGAAGAAATGCAACATGGTCCTTTAAGATGCTTTGGTTATAAGGCGACTTTTAGTTAAAGAGTGACATGCAATGACTCAAAATAACTCAAATGTAATACCAAGCGGATGCCCTGAAACCGTAATACCAAGCAGATGCCCTGAAACAGTGTTCAGTATTACATTTACATTTGTGTAATTTCACCTTTTATTCAGCGATTAACCTAGATGTTCAGTAACTGTGTGTAGAGCCTGTGTATACGGTTGCAAAATTCCGGGAACTTTCAATAAATTCTCGGGTTTTCCTGAAATCCTGGTTGGAGGATTCACGGAATCAGGAGGGAATCAGCTGGAATGCCAGAATCCTCTAATCAGGATTTCTGGAAAACCTGAGAATTTATTGAAAGTTTCCGGAATTTTGCAACCCTACCGGCGAATGAGGCAATCGAACCCTCATTGAAACTGCAGTAAAGTGTGCAGTAAACATTTATGTACCACTGTATGTGAGAGGCATATTTTAATAGGTTCACTCGTCACTCATTAACTTGGCTGGATGGGAAATGGAAATAGAAACGGGAGATTGAGTCATGAAAAGAGGATGTTAAGGTTAAGAAAAGTAACATCCTGAAGTAGAGGGTTTGACTGTTTGGGAGGGTTTCAATTAGGTCTATTGTCTTGAGCTATTTAGCTATTTAGCTATGCAACTTTCTTCAACTTTAAAACGTACTTGTGTCTAGTGGTTGTTATACAGTGATTTTGACATTTTAAAATTGTCTTACAAACAAAACTGTCCGCTAACTTACTGAATTTGGGTCTTTAATTGTATCTTTGAGCCCTGTTGTGTAACACAATAGACATATCAAGTGGATGCCTGGCCCCGACATCATACATTCTCTAGAGTCCATTCCCCTGTTATTCTCCTTTTGCCTAGATCAGTGTTTTCCAACCCTGGTCCTCCGGTCCCCCCAACAGTACACAGTTTGGTTGTAGCCCTGGACAGACACACCTCCATTAAGCTCATCGAGGGCTTGATGATTAGTTGACCAGTTGAATCAGGTGTGCTTGTCCAGGGTTACAATAAAAATGTGTACCGTTGCGGGGTACTGGAGGACCAGGGTTGGGAAACACTAGGCTATAGATTAGAGAAGTGAACTAGTTCACATGTTACTAGCTATGTTCTGTACTATGAGTTTAACAGGCTTCTGGACTCGTGTTATTCGCCGGTACATTGAACATGCAGAATTCACATAGAAAAAAAACCTGGAATTAGTGGGAGATATGCGTTGTCATAGACGTATACAATGCTAGCTGTAGCATTGACACGGCTAGCCACCGCTAGACGCCGTAATAATGGAGGTTAGCTAAATGACGGCTATTCTAGCTGTCATTGACCCTATAGTCAATGCTACTGCTGCTTCCTATTTCTGCCCATTTCGTTGTGTGCCAGGAAGTTAGTTTACACACTGTCCCACACTATGCTCACAGGCTTCTCTTTGATTTAATGTGTTAGTGGTCTGTAATCACATTGTAAACAGGGCTTTAAAATAAAAATTGATAAAGATGGCTTGATATGCCTCATTCCAGTTAAGTTCTGGTAGTAGAGTTTGTTGCACCCTACTGTTTCCGAAACCTCAACGGCCTTCAGCTGTTCTGTCACAATGTGTTCCGTACACACACGGTGCCACTGCCTCACTGTGCAGTCCAGTGGGAACATTTAATCAGTAATAAATCTTTAATTATTACATCGTCCTTCACTGTAAAGTACTGCTACTGTCATGGCTGGGTGGTGTTTGTCCTAGATTGACTGGCTGCCTCAAGGTCTTTGGTGGAACACCGTGAACCCAGATTTAAACCATTGTGAAATCGTGTGTGAGTGTGTGCATGTGTGCTCTGGTGACGGTTCTTGCAGTCAGCGTGCCAATTGCACGCTCCCTCAAAACTTGAGACATCTGTGTCATTGTGTTGTTTGACAAAACTGCACATTTTAGAGTGGCCTTTTAATGTCCCCAGCACAAGGTGCACCCGTGTAATGATCATGCTGTTTAATCAGCTTCTTGATATGCCACACCTGTCAGGTGGATGGATTATCTTGGCAAAGGAGAAATGCTCACTAACAGGGATGTAAACTAATTTGTGCACAAATTTTAAAAGAAATAAGCTTTTTGTGCATATGGAACATTTTTGGGATCTTTTATTTCAGCTCATGAAACATGGGACTAACACTTTACATATTGCGTTTATATTTTTGTTGACGCTTTGCCTGTTTTATGGCTCGTCGGATGTCGTAGCGCGATTTCTTATAAGCGTCCAGATCAGTGTCCCGGTCCTTAAAAGCGGCAGCTCTAGCCTTTAGCTCAGTGTGGATGTTGCCTGTAATCCATGGCTTCTGGTTGGGATACAGTGCCTTCAGAAAGTATTAATTCATACCCCTTGACATAACATATTTTGTTGTGTTATAGCCTGAATTCAAAATGGGTGACATAAAAATATGTTTATCTCACCCATCTACACACAATACCCCATAATGACAAAGTGAAAACATGTTTTTAGAATTACATTTACATTTACATTTACGTAATTTAGCAGACGCTCTTATCCAGAGCGACTTACAAATAGGTGCATTCACCTTATAGCCAGTGGGATAACCACTTTACAATGTATTATTTTAAAATATTTTAAAATATTTTTTATTTATTAAATTATTATTATTATTGTGTTTTTTTTTTTGGGGGGGGGGGGTAGAAGGATTACTTTATCCTATCCCAGGTATTCCTTAAAGAGGTGGGGTTTCAAATGTCTCCGGAAGGTGGTGAGTGACTCCGCTGTCCTGGCGTCGTGAGGGAGCTTGTTCCACCATTGGGGTTTATTGAAAATGAAAATGAAATATCTAATTTACATAAGTATTCACACCCCTGAGTCAATACTTTGTAGAAGCACCTTTGGCAGCGATTACAGTTGCGAGTCTTTCTGGGTAAGTCTCTAAGAGCTTTCCAAACCTGGAATGTGCAACATTTTCACATTATTATTTTCAAAATTCTTCGAGCTCTGTCAAATTGGTTGTTGATCATTGCTAGACAACCATTTTCAGGTCTTGCCATAGATTTTTAAGTAGATTTAAGTCAAAACTGTAACTCGGCCACTCAGGAACATTCACTGTCTTCTTGGTAAGTAACTCCAGTGTAGATTTGGCCTTGTGTTTTAGGTTATTGTCCTGCTGAAAGGTGAATTCATCTCCCAGTGTCTGGTGGAAAGCAGACTGAACCAGGTTTTCCTCCAGGATTTTGCCTGTGCTTAGCTCCATTCCGTTTCTTTTTTAACCTGAAGATGCAGCCACCCCTATGCTTGAAAATTTGGAGAGTTTTACTCAGTAATGTGTTGTATTGGATTTGCCCCAAAGACAGCACTTTGTATTCAGGACAAAAAGTGAATTTCTGTGCCACATTTTTTGCAGTATTACTTTAGTGCCTTGTTGCAAACAGGATGCATGTTTTGGAATGTTTTTATTCTGTACAGGCTTCCTTCTTTTCACTCTGTCAATTAGGTTAGTATTGTGGAGTAACTACAATGTTGTTGATCCATCCTCAGTTTTCTCCTATCACAGCCATTAAACTCTGTAACTGTTTAAAAGTCACCATTGGCCTCATGGTGAAATCCCTGAGCGGTTTCCTTCCTCTCCGGCAACTGAGTTAGGAAGGACGCCTGTATCTTTGTAGTGACTGGATGTATTGATACACCATCCAAAGTGTAATTAATAACTTCACCATGTTTAAAGGGATATTCAATATCTGCTTCTTTTTTTTTTTACCAATCTACCTTCTTTGCGAGGCATGTGGTTGAAATTCGCTGCTCGACTGAGGGACCTTACAAATAATTGTGTGTGGGGTACAGAGATGAGATCATCATTCAAAAATCATGTCAAACACTATTATTGCACACAGAGTGAGTCCATACAAATTATTATGTGACTTTTTAAGCACATTCTTAACTTATTTAGGCTTGCCATAACAATGGGGTTGAATACTTACTGACTCAAGACATTTCAGCTTTAAGTTTTAATTAATTTCTAACATTTTCAAAAAACATAATTCCACTTTGACATTATGGGGTATTGTGTGTAGGCCAGTGACAAAAACAAAAAAATGTAATACATCTCAAATGCAGGCTGTAACGCAACAAAATGTGGAAAAAGTGAAGGGGAGTGAATACTTTCTGAAGGCGCTGTGTGTATGCACGGTCACTTTGGGGACAACATCATCGATGCACTTATTAATGAAGCCTGATGTGGTGTACTCCTCAATGCCATCGGATGAGTCCCGGAACATATTCCAGTCTGCGCTAGCGAAACAGTCCTGTAGCTTAGCATCCACTTCATCGGACCACTTCCGTATTGGGCTGGTACTTCCCGTTTTGAGTTTTTGCTTGTAAGCAGGAATCAGGAGGATAGAGTTATAGTCAGATTTGCCAAATGGAGGCCGAGGGAGAGCTTTCTATGCATGTCTGTGTGTGGAGATGAGTCCAAGGAGTCCCGATAAGGGTTTCTCATCATCATGTTTATCAATAAGGTCATCTGGCTGAGATAGAGCCTAGAGGCAGTCAATATTAATAGTTTATACAGTACACAAGGCCTGGAACAGGTGGTTCTGATATCAGACAAGGAGGAAATAGGTGTTGCACCTGACTATTGGTATCATAGGATATATGAACCTCTCTCCCCCTCTCTCTTTCTCTGCAGTGGAGGGGATGAAGGTGGTGGAGATAGAGAAGTGTCGCAGCGATATCAAGAAGCTCAGGGAGGAGATGGCGTCCAGGAACAACAGGTTAGTCACCTTTTATTATCTCATCATCTTTCAACTTTGACCTCTAGCTGCGACCTGAATCCTGATAACGATGTCCAATGTCTGAATGGTGTTTTCTGCATCTTACATTGAACAGTCTATCTTAGTGTAAGTTAGTAGAGGAAGTATTGGAGAAAAACTTTGTCGGCCATTAGCAGGGCTTTAGAACCAGGGTCATGCTCATTAGGTTATATATTTAGATCGTATATTATTATACTCTTTAATTTTAACAACCCCCTCAGAGATCTCACTCTCTTGCGCAGGGTAGATCAGTGGCATAACAATGGGATCAGGTTGGACAATTATTAAGGGATTTAGTTTAAGTTCATTCTTCTGCATAATACAGTGTTTATTAATAACCTCTGGCATCTGATAAGGTTACATACTCGTATATACTGTTATATAGGCCTACTGTTACAAAGGTTAGCTTATTTCAATCCTACACCACACTGTGACGTGTGTGACGTGTGTGTCTGTTTTATGGTCTGATTTGATTGATTGTTTACTGCTTGCTTTGAACTGTAGTAATTTCCTGGATGACAACAAGAAGCTGACACCTCGGAGAGACGTGCCCTCTTACCCCAAGGTAAGGCAGGGGTCTGCAAATTACTCCTGTGTGTTTTGTCATTGTCAGTGAGCCCGTTATCAGTGACTGTATGTCCAGGGCGTCAAAACTCCACCTGTATGTCCATAGTGTCAGAACACCACCTGTATGTCCAGGGCGTCAGAACACCACCTGTATGTCCATAGTGTCAGAACACCACCTGTATGTCCATAGTGTCAGAACACCACCTGTATGTCCATAGTGTCAGAACACCACCTGTATGTCCATAGTGTCAGAACACCACCTGTATGTCCATAGTGTCAGAACACCACCTGTATGTCCATAGTGTCAGAACACCACCTGTATGTCCATAGTGTCAGAACACCACCTGTATGTCCATAGTGTCAGAACACCACCTGTATGTCCATAGTGTCAGAACACCACCTGTATGTCCATAGTGTCAGAACACCACCACGTGTCCTAAGTCAGTTGTATGACAGATGTACCTCCTATTGTCAGATACAGCATGCCCCTAGTTAAGTGCACCCATGTCAGGTGTGCCAGTGTTTCACCCTAGATTTCATAGGTAGGCGGAGTGCAAAGGCCCTTAGAGGCAAGCTGCCTCGCCTAAAGAAATACAGCCAGCATCTGTCTCCAGTGCCGGTTTAACACCTGTAGTCAGGTCAGGTGTGTACAGGTGTGTATGTAGAGGTAAGCCCACAGCTACAACCGGAGACAGACAGGGTAAACTGGGAGCTCTGGGTTCTGCAGTACATGCTCTCGCAGCAGACCATAGACGCCCTCAGAAAGCCTGCCTTTGACCTCTGGCTGTGGGAGGCCAACAAGGTCAGATGCTGACTTCACCAAAACGCTGTTCTTCTCTCTCCCCCCTTCTGTCCCTCTCTCTATCTGCCTCTCTCTGTCTGTCTGTCTGTGTGTGTGTGTGTGTGTGTCTGTGTCTGTGTCTGTCTGTGTGTGTGTGTGTGTGTGTGTGTTTGTGTCTGTGTGTGTGTGTCTGTGTGTCTCTGTGTGTGTGTGTGTGTGTGTGTGTCTGTGTGTATCTGTGTGTGTGTGTGTGTGTGTGTGTGTGTGTGTGTGTGTGTGTGTGTGTGTGTGTGTGTGTGTGTGTGTGTGTGTCTGTGTGTGTGTGTGTGTGTAGTACCACCTGTCTCAGGAGACAGTGGAAGCTCTCAGACAACCCACCTTTGATGTCTGGCAGTGGGAGCCCAACGAGGTGAGGGCAGGCGGTTGGACCATAGACAAACTACCATAGACGTTCAACTACCATAGAGGTTCAACTACCACATAGGTTCAACTACCATAGACATTGAACTACCATAGAGCTGTTAAACCATAGATAATAAAATACTGCTGTACCATAGAACTGTCGCTCACACTCGGTCTCAGTCCTCCACCTTCCTTCATGTGATCAGATGCTGAGCTGCCTAGAGCACATGTATCACGACCTGAACCTGGTCAAGGACTTCAACATGAACCCCATCACACTGAAGAGATGGCTGGTAAGACTGCTAGAGATATCTACAACTGTTCTTCATCTACTGCTGCACCACTTGTTACTCGTGTCAGGTTTGTTGTAGCTGTCTGATGGTCTCACTTCTTCTCCCCCCCCCCCCCCCCCCCCCCCCCCCCACCTCCCTGCAGCTTTGTATCCATGACAACTACAGGGTAAATCCCTTCCATAACTTCCGTCACTGTTTTTGTGTCACCCAGATGATGTACAGCATGATCTGCCTCTGCAGCCTACAGGTAAGACTATAATAATACTACAATAATACCACAGTAATACCACAGTAATACCACAGTAATATTACAGTAATACTACAGGTAATACTACAGGTAATACTACAGGTAATGCTACAGGTAATACTGCAGGTAATACCACAGTAATATTACAGTAATACTATACGAATACTACATAAATACTATAGGTAATACCACAATAATACTACAGTAATACTATACTAATACTACATAAATACTATAGGTAATACCACAATAATACTACAGGTAATACCACAGTCATATCACAGTAATACTGCAGGTAATACCACAGTAATACTGCAGGTAATACCACAGTAATACTGCAGGTAATACCACAGTAATACTACAGGTAATACCACAGTAATACTGCAGGTAATACCACAGTAATACTACAGTAATACTACAGGTAATCCCACAGTAATACTACAGGTAATCCCACAGTAATCCCACAGTAATACTACAGTAATACTACAGGTAATATCACAGTAATACTACAGGTAATACTACAGGTAATACCACAGTAATACCACAGTAATACTACAGTAATACCACAGTAATACTACAGTAATACTACAGGTAATCCCACAGTAATACTACAGGTAATCCCACAGTAACACCACAGTAATACTACAATAATACTACAGGTAATCCCACAGTAATACCACATTAATACTACAGGTAATACTACAGTAATACTGCAGGGAATACCACAGTAATACTACAGTAATACTACAGGTATTCCCACAGTAATACTACAGGTAATCCCACAGTAATACCACAGTAATACTACAGGTAATCCCACAGTAATACCACAGTAATACTACAGGTAATACCACAGTAATACTGCAGGTAATACCACAGTAATACTACAGTAATACTACAGGTAATCCCACAGTAATCCCACAGTAATCCCACAGTAATACTACAGGTAATTCCACAGTAATACTACAGTAATACTATAAAAATACCACAATAACACCATATACCTCAGCTCTATAAAAGGGCAGAATAGTTTTTTCTTGAAGAGGAGGGATGAGGGGGAGGGAGAGAGACGCTTAGAGAAATGATACTCCCTTGGAGACCCTCCCTCGGGCATCCTCTCAACAACCCCTGTTGTCGTGGTCAACCATTCATGAGAGGTTTATTTATCATCAAACGCTATAATGGTCAATTATGCGTCGGCCATGTTAATGACGTGCTAATGAGATCTCTCTCAGACACCACTACACACAGACATGCACACAGTACACAGATGGCCCATTCATTGAGTTAATGGGTCTGTGGCGTGTGTCTCCCAGGAGATATTCACCCAGGTGGACATTCTGATTCTGATGACAGCTGCAGTGTGCCACGATCTGCAGCACCCCGGGTACAACAACACGTAAGACGCGTTTTTACTCTCTCTCTCTCTCTCTCTCTCTCTTACTCTGCCATCTGTCTATCCCAATTCGATGTAGCCTCGGACACCCAGGTTTCAAGAAGAGATTTGAAAGCATGGCCCTGTGAGAATAATTTAGATAAAATGAGATAGTCACGTCTGTCTCTCAGGTACCAGATAAATGCGCGGACGGAGCTGGCAGTACGCTACAATGACATTTCTCCTCTGGAGAATCACCACTGTGCCGTGGCCTTCCAGATCTTCTCCCAGCCCGACTGCAACATCTTCTCCACCTTCGATGCTGAGGCCTTCAAACAGATACGGCAGGTAGGGGGTAGGAGTGTGTGTGTGGGTGTGTGTGTGTGTGTGTGTGTGTGCATACTACTATACCAGTAGTCTAAAATAACGTGTTCTATATAGTCTGACATACAGTGCATTTGGAAAGTATTCAGACCCCTTGACTTTTTCCACATTTTGTTACGTTACAGCCTTATTCTAAAATTGATTAACTTGTTGTTGTTTTTTTCCCCTCATCAATCTACACACAATACCCCATAATGACAAAGCAAAAATAGGTTTTTAGAAATTTTACTGAAATATGACATTTACATAAGTATTCAGACCCTTTACTCAGTACTTTGTTAAAGCACCTTTGGCAGCGATTACAGCCTTGAGTCTTCTTGGGTATGACGCTACAAGCTTGGCACACCTGTATTTGGGGAGTTTTTCCCATTCTTCTCTGCAGATCCTCTCAAGTTCTGTCAGGTTGGATGGGGAGCGTCGCTGCACAGCTATTTTCAGGTCTTTTCAGAGATGTTAGATCGGGTTCAAGTCCGGGCTCTGGCTGGGCCACTCAAGGACATTCAGAGACTTGTCCCGAAGCTACTCCTGCGTTGTCTTGGCTGTGTGCTTAGGGTCGTTGTCCTGTTGGAAGGTGAACCTTACCCCAGTCTGAGGTCCTGAGTGCTCTGGAGCAGGTTTTCATCAAGGATCTCTCTGTACTTTGCTCCGCTCATCTTTGCCTCGATCCTGACTAGTCTCCCAGTCCCTGCCGCTGAAAAACATCCCAGCAACAGGAGGCTAACACCACCATGCTTCACCGTAGGGATGGTGCCAGGTTTCCTCCAGACTTGACGGTTGGCATTCAGGCCAAAGAGTTCAAACTTGATTTCATCAGACCAGAGAATCTTGTTTCTGATGGTCAGAGAGTCTTTAGGTGCCTTTTTGCAAACTCCAAGCAGGCTGTCATGTGCCTTTTACTGAGGAGTGGCTTCCGTCCGGCCAATCTACAATAAAGGCCTGATTGGTGGAGTGCTGCAGAGATGGTTGTCCTTCTGGAAGGTTCTCCCATTTCCACAGAGGAACTCTAGAGCTCTGTCAGAGTGACCATTGGGTTCTTGGTCACCTCCCTGACCAAGGCCCTTCTCCCTCGATTGCTCAGTTTGGCCTGGCGGCCAGCTCTAGGAAGAGTGTTAGTGGTTCCAAACTTCTTCCATTTAAGAATGATGGAGGCCACTGTGTTTTTGGGGATCTTCAATGCTGCAGACATCTTTTTGCTACCCTTCCCCAGATCTGTGCCTCGACACAATCCTGTCTCGGAGCTCTACGGACAATTCCTTCGACCTCATGGCTTGATTTTTGCTCTGACATGCACTTTCAACTGTGGGACTGTCACGCCCTGACTCAGGGGACTCTTATATGTTGAGTCAGGGTGTGTATATTATTTGTTGTGTATGTTCTATGTTGTATTATCTAGTATGTGTATTTGTATGTTGGCCGGTGTGGTTCCCAATCAGAGGCAGCTGTCGCTCGTTGTCTCTGATTGGGGATCATACCTAGGCAGCCTATTGGCACTAGTGGGTTGTGGGATCTTGTTCCGTGTAAGGTATGTTGTGTGAGCTACCTTGGACTTCACGTTTCGTTTAGTTTGTTGTTTTGTCGTTGTGTTTATTTGGTTTAATAAACATGTACGTATATCACGCTGCGCCTTGGTCTGACCCGTCCTTAGACGAACGTGACAGGGACCTTATATAGACAGGTGTGTGCCTTTCCAAATCATGTCCAATGAATTGAATTTACCGCAGGTGGACTCCAATCAAGTTGTAGAAACATCTCAAGGATAATAAATGGAAACTGGATGCATATAAGCTGAATTTTGAGTCTCATAGCAAAGGGTCTGAATACTTATGTAAATAAGGTATTTCCGTTTTTTATTTGTAATACATTTGCAAAAATGTCAACTGTTTTCGCTTTGTCATTATGGGGTATTGTGTGTAGATTGATGAGGAATTTATTTGATTTAATCAATTTTAGAATAAGGCTATAGCGTAACAAAATTTGGAAAAAGTCACTTCGAATGCACTGTATATCTCTGTCTTAGGGAATCATCACACTGATCTCTCTCTGTCTTAGAGAATCATCACACTGATCTCTCTCGTTCTTAGGGAATCATCACACTGATCTCTCTCGTTCTTAGGGAATCATCACGCTGATCTCTCTCTTTCCTAGGGAATCATCACGCCGATCTCTCTCTCTTTCCTAGGGAATCATCACACTGATCTCTCTCGTTCTTAGGGAATCATCACACTGATCTCTCTCTTTCCTAGGGAATCATCACACTGATCTCTCTCTTTCCTAGGGAATCATCACGCCGATCTCTCTCTTTCCTAGGGAATCATCACACTGATCTCTCTCTCTTTCCTAGGGAATCATCACACTGATCTCTCTCTGTCTTAGAGAATCATCACACTGATCTCTCTCGTTCTTAGGGAATCATCACACTGATCTCTCTCGTTCTTAGGGAATCATCATGCTGATCTCTCTCTTTCCTAGGGAATCATCACGCCGATCTCTCTCTTTCCTAGGGAATCATCACACTGATCTCTCTCTTTCCTAGGGAATCATCACACTGATCTCTCTCTCTTTCCTAGGGAATCATCACACTGATCTCTCTCTCTTTCCTAGGGAATCATCACACTGATCTCTCTCTCTTTCCTAGGGAATCATCACACTGATCTCTCTCTTTCCTAGGGAATCATCACACTGATCTCTCTCTTTCCTAGGGAATCATCACACTGATCTCTCTCTCTTTCCTAGGGAATCATCACACTGATCTCTCTCTCTTTCCTAGGGAATCATCACACTGATCTCTCTCTCTTTCCTAGGGAATCATCACACTGATCTCGCTCTCTTTCCTAGGGAATCATCACACTGATCTCTCTCTTTCCTAGGGAATCATCACACTGATCTCTCTCTCTTTCCTAGGGAATCATCACACTGATCTCTCTCTTTCCTAGGGAATCATCACACTGATCTCTCTCTTTCCTAGGGAATCATCATACTGATCTCTCTCTCTTTCCTAGGGAATCATCACACTGATCTCTCTCTCTTTCCTAGGGAATCATCACACTGATCCTGGCCACAGACATGGCACGGCATGGCGAGATACTGGACTCCTTCAAGCATAAAGTGGACAGCTTTGACTTCACTGATGAAGAGCATGTCACCTGTGTAAGTATACACGTTACTACCCCAGTATCTCTATTTGCACATAATCTCTTGCACATCTAGCATTCCACTGTTAATACTATTGTAATTATTTGGCACTATGGCCTATTTATTGCCTTACCTCCATAACTTGCTACATTTGCACACACTGTATATATATTTTCTGTTGTATTTTTGACTTTATGTTTTTTTTACCCCATATGTAACTCTGTGTTGTTTTTATCGCACTGCTTTGCTTTATCTTGGCCAGGTCGCAGTTGTAAATGAGAACTTGTTCTCAACTGGCTTACCTGGTTAAATAAAGGTTAAATAAATAAAATAAAATAAAAACTATGTATTTCCCTCTACCCTAGAATACGTATTTTCCACAACCCTACAGTTTGTGCATGTCAGTATATTTGTCCTCCTATGCAGTAATACTAGCTCTACAACTTCCCTAGGTATGTTTGTTCGTCATTTCTGCTGCTGTTTATGTGGGCCGTCTGGTAGAACCCCCTCCCTACAGTATATTAAACTCTGCTCTGTTCCGCCCCCCAGCTGAAGATGGGTGGGCCGTCTGGTAGAACCCCCTCCCTACAGTATATTTAAACTCTGCTCTGTTCCGCCCCCCAGCTGAAGATGGTGCTGATTAAATGCTGTGACATCTCTAATGAGGTCCGGCCCATGGAGGTGGCTGAGCCCTGGGTCGACTGCTTGCTGGAGGAGTACTTCATGCAGGTACGTAAAGCCCCATATATACTGTATATGTGTTTTTATACAGTACATAGCCTACAGTATAAAGCCCCATATATACTGTATATGTGTTTTTATACAGTACATAGCCTACAGTATAAAGCCCCATATATACTGTATGTGTTTTTATACAGTACATAGCCTACAGTATAAAGCCCCATATATACTGTATATGCGTTTTTATACAGTACATGGCCTACAGTATAAAGCCCCATATATACTGTATATGCGTTTTTATACAGTACATGGCCTACAGTATAAAGCCCCATATATACTGTATATGCGTTTTTATACAGTACATGGCCTACAGTATAAAGCCCCATATATACTGTATATGTGTTTTTATACAGTACATAGCCTACAGTATAATTACTGTATAATTCAAGGTATGTCTCATACCTGCCTCATATCTCAATGTTGATACATGAGTCCATGTGAGAATGGAACAATAAAGTCCATGAAACATTGCATTTGCACATACAGTGGGGTCTGAAATGATTGGTATTTCAGTTGTGGTTGAGATACAGTGGGGTCTGAAATGATTGGTATTTCAGTTGTGGTTGAGATACAGTGGGGTCTGAAATGATTGGTATTTCAGTTGTGGTTGAGATACAGTGGGGTCTGAAATGATTGGTATTTCAGTTGTGGTTGAGATACAGTGGGGTCTGAAATGATTGGTATTTCAGTTGTGGTTGAGATACAGTGGGGTCTGAAATGATTGGTATTTCAGTTGTGGTTGAGATACAGTGGGGTCTGAAATGATTGGATCCCTTGATGAAGATGAGCAAAACAGACTGTATAAAATAAATAATACAAATACTGAGCTATATTGTGTGTGAAAAAAGAAAAATTATACATGTTGCTTAGAGAAAGAGATTTTGTTTAACAATTAATAAAACAAAATCTTAGAAAGATAGAGGTCAAAATGATTGTTTCCCCAGTTTTCAATCCTCCAGAACCCTCCTGTTTTCATTCCTCCAGAACCCTCCCCTGTTTTCAATACTCCAGAACCCTCCCCTTGTGAGGATAACGACACTGAGCCTTTTTCTAAAATGTTTTATGAGATTGATCATGAACTTTACCAAGTACCAGGACATTTTAGCCAAAAACCTGGTTGAGCTGCTAGGAGGCTGAAACTTGGCCGCAAGTGGAGCTTCCTGAAAGTTTGTTCTTAATTGACTAGCCTGGTTAAATAAAGGTTAAATATATACACTGCTCAAAAAAATAAAGGGAACACTTAAACAACACAATGTAACTCCAAGTCAAACACACTTCTGTGAAATCAAACTGTCCACTTAGGAAGCAACACTGATTGACAATAAATTTCACATGCTGTTGTGCAAATGGAATAGACAACAGGTGGAAATTATAGGCAATTAGCAAGACACCCCCAATAAAGGACTGGTTTTGCAGGTGGTGACCACAGACCACTTCTCAGTTCCTATGCTTCCTGGCTGATGTTTTGGTCACTTTTGAATGCTGGCGGTGCTTTCACTCTAGTGGTAGCATGAGACGGAGTCTACAACCCACACAAGTGGCTCAGGTAGTGCAGCTCATCCAGGATGGCACATCAATGCGAGCTGTGGCAAGAAGGTTTGCTGTGTCTGTCAGCGTAGTGTCCAGAGCATGGAGGCGCTACCAGGAGACAGGCCAGTACATCAGGAGACGTGGAGGAGGCCGTAGGAGGGCAACAACCCAGCAGCAGGACTGCTACCTCCGCCTTTGTGCAAGGAGGAGCACTGCCAGAGCCCTGCAAAATGACCTCCAGCAGGCCACAAATATGCATGTGTCTGCTCAAACGGTCAGAAACAGACTTCATGAGGGTGGTATGAGGGCCCGACGTCCACAGGTGGGGGTTGTGCTTACAGCCCAACACCGTGCAGGACGTTTGGCATTTGGCAGAGAACACCAAGATTGGCAAATTCGCCACTGGCGCCCTGTGCTCTTCACAGATGAAAGCAGGTTCACACTGAGCACATGTGACAGACGTGACAGAGTCTGGAGATGCCGTGGAGAACATTCTGCTGCCTACAACATCCTCCAGCATGACCGGTTTGGCGGTGGGTCAGTCATGGTGTGGGGTGGCATTTCTTTGGGGGGCCGCACAGCCCTCCATGTGCTCGCCAGAGGTAGCCTGACTGCCATTAGGTACTGAGATGAGATCCTCAGACCCCTTGTGAGACCATATGCTGGTGCGGTTGGCCCTGGGTTCCTCCTAATGCAAGACAATGCTAGACCTCGTGGCTGGAGTGTGTCAGCAGTTCCTGCAAGAGGAAGGCATTGATGCTATGGACTGGCCCGCCCGTTCCCCAGACCTGAATCCAATTGAGCACATCTGGGACATCATGTCTCGCTCCATCCACCAACGCCACGTTGCACCACAGACTGTCCAGGAGTTGGCGGATGCTTTAGTCCAGGTCTGGGAGGAGATCCCTCAGGAGACCATCCGCCACCTCATCAGGAGCATGCCCAGGCGTTGTAGGGAGGTCATACAGGCACGTGGAGGCCACACACACTACTGAGCCTCATTTTGACTTGTTTTAAGGACATTACATCAAAGTTGGATCAGCCTGTAATGTGGTTTTCCACTTTAATCTTGAGGGTGACTCCAAATCCAGACCTCCATGGGTTGATAAATTTGATTTCCATTGATAATTTTTGTGTGATTTTGTTGTCAGCACATTCAACTATGTAAAGGAAAAAGTATTTAATAAGATTATTTCATTCATTCAGATCTAGGATGTTATTTTAGTGTTCCCTTAATTTTTTTGAGCAGTGTATATTTTTTAAAGACAATAACCCCAAGCACACATCACAATCCACAAAGAAATTGTTAATTGACCACAAAATCAACAGTTTGCAATGGCCATCTGTCTCTGGACTTTAACCCCATTGAAAACCTGTGGTTTGAATTGAAGAGGGCAGTCCATAAACGCAGACGAAGGATATCAAGGATCTGGAAAGATTCTGTATGGATGAATGGTCTAAGATCCCTCCCAATGTGTTCTCCAATCTCATAAATCATTTTAGAAAAAGGCTCAGTGCCGTTATCCTCGCAAAGGGAGGGTTCTGGAGTATTGAAAACAAAGGATACTATAATTTTGACCCATATCTTTTTTAGATTTATTTGTATAAAATACAAATGTAACATTTGTTGGAGCATGCAATATACTGTAGCTATTATATTTGTTTGTGTATTTTTTGCTCATGGCTATCCAATCACTCCGGACCCAACTGTATGTGCCGTTTGTATTAAAAATGAAGGATTGCACTGACCACTTTCTCTCTCTTCTCCGTCCTTTCCTCAGAGTGACAGGGAGAAGGCAGAGAGTCTGCCTGTGGCGCCCTTCATGGACAGAGAAAAGGTCACCAGACCCACCGCCCAGATCGGATTCATCAAGTTTGTCCTCATCCCCATGTTTGAGACCGTAATGAAGGTGAGCAATGAATGGATGGATGGGACTGTAAAATGATAATGACAGTGGTGATGATAATGATAAACACTGGCTCCCTCCCTCAGCTGTTCCCTCAGATTGAGGATGTGATGATCCAGCCTCTGAAAGAGTCACGAGACAGATACGAGGAGCTCAAGCAGATCGACGATGCCATGAATGAGGTCAGACGTATTTGTGTGTGTTTGATTGTTTTATTTAAGGAGGACACATTGGCATGTTGTTATGTGTAGCAGTGACTGGAGCAGTGCTGTGAATCTCTCTCTTCTTTAGGTGCAGAAAAAGAAAAGTGAGAACCTGACTATGGGGAAGAAGAAGTGAGATGGAAGGTAGATGTTTTTGGCTACCTGCATTGAGCAAAGTCTTGTATATACAATATGTGTATGGTGTAGATTAAATGAATGTGTGTTCCTCTGTTTCAGCTCAAATGTCCTACGGTGGAAAAGAGTCAGTATGGCATTCTGAGGAATGGGACCCGAGGAAGCAGGAAACAGACCAAGCCACTGTCTGCCCGGCCGGATGGACAATCCAAAGCTTTTATCAGGGAATGTCGACTTGTACAGCACGGACTACTTCAGTGAACAATATTTTGATTTGATGTCTTGACTTGTTTTGAAATGTTTTTGTTTTATACAGAATGTACAGATTTTTAGTCGCCGTTGTTGTTTCCTACAAAAATAAAAGGTTTACTTTAATTATAATCTTTCATGTGGACTATTTGAGTTTTAGCTTATTTATACTGAACAAAAATATAAACGCAACATGTAAAGTGTTGTTCCCATTTTTTATGAGCTTAAATAAAAGATCCCAGAAATGTTCCATACGCACAAAAAGCTTATTTCTCTCCAATTTTGTGCACAAATGTGTTTACATCCCTGCTAGTGAGCATTTCTTCTTTGCCAAGATAATCCATCCACCTGACAGGTGTGGCATTTCAAGAAGCTGATTAAACAGCATGATCATTACAAAGGTGCACCTTGTGCTGGGGAAAATAAAAGGCCACTCTAAACACACAATGCCACAGATGTCTGAAGTTGAGGGAGCGTGCAATTGGCATGATGAGTGCAGGAATGTCCACCAGAGCGGTTGCCAGAGAATTTGTTAATTTCTCTACCATGTCGTTTTAGAGAATTTGGCAGTATGTCGAACAGGCCTCAACCACAGACCATGTGTAACCACGCCAGCCCAGGACATCCACATCTGGCTTCTTCACCTGCGGAATTGTCTGAGACAAGCCACCCGGACCGCTGATGAAACTGAGGAGTATTTCTGTCTGTAATAAAGCCCTTTTGTGGGGGGAAAACAAACATATTCTGAGTGGGTGGGCCTATGCCCTCCCAGGCCCACCCATGACTGTGCCCCTGCCCAGTCATGTGAAATGCATATATTAAGGCCTAATGAATTTATTTCAATTGACTGATTTCCTTATATGAACTGTAACTCAGTAAAATCGTTCAAATTGTTGCGTTGACATTTTTGTTCAGTATATATATATATATATTATTCTACCCATCAATGCTTACTGAGTAGTCCTCTTACCTGTAGCTGTGGAGATGTTATGTTTCATGTGATTAAGACAGAATGGCTGGTGAGAAACACTGTTTACTTCTGGACGTTGCTAGGAAACACAGCAGCTTCTGAAGATTTGAAGAGCTGTCAGTGTGGCGGTGATCCTTGCAAAACGTGACTTAGTCAAACAACAGGGCGTTGTTGAAACACCTTAAGCCTTTTGATGCAAATGAGACATTTTTACTTCTTTGAAATGTGATAAACTTGTTATCCTACTTTGGGAGACAAGTAGGAGAAACATTTCCTTGAATGATTTTCACACTTTCTAGAGAGCTCTTCTTTGTTCATGCCTATTCAGCATCTTTTAAAGCCCTTTAAGCCCCACACCTCTTTAAGAATTCACATGTAAAAGGCCTGAGTCGGCATGACATCATCTTCCAGGAAATAGTCTCTCTATTATCGCCTTCCATTATCTCAGCCAATCATGGGATCCCGCCTTTCTCTCTGCATAGCTCAGTGCTTCCTCCTTGGCTAAACTAGGCTCATCATTTAAACATTTTATTCATATGCAGATCCCATATAAGTTTGTAATTAAAGGCATATGTAAGTTCACATGTTCAAGAAAGCATTTCTGAAACGGCACTGTGAAGTAGGAAATGGCATCAAACGCCTCCGATACTGAATTGGGTCAGATATGAATGACGTAGTCAACTTACTTCCTGACAGTGGAAGGACTCGGCTCCCCAGTGGTCAAGGTATGACACTATAGGTGGGGAGCGAGAGAGACCCTTTTAAGCGTCAAACTGTGAGTCATAATGTTTTATTTAAAAAAAAAAAAAATTATTTGTAATTCAAAAATCATAATACATTTACACAACTCTGTGGTCAGCCTATCCATCTCCAAACAAAGATAGAATAACATAGAGAACTCTGAAAGAAGCCTTTTTAAACCCAAATATATAATTTATCCCTCTGTCTCTCCTCTCAGTTTCAGCTAGAGGCTTTGGGCACTGACCCAGACTGGTTGCCTTTCTTGGCTTTTTTACTGTCTCCGTTGGACTGCTGCCCCTTCCCTGGTCCTCTCTTCTTCTTGCCCCCGTGTTCATTCTGCTGCTGGAGCCTCTGCTGCTTCTTTTCTCTGTAGGACGCCATGTTGTCAAAGTTGGCCTTGTACAGGTGCTGGAACTGGCTCTCTAACCCTGCTGAGACTGTTGTGAGGAGAAACAGGGAGGGAGGGAGGGAGGGAGCAGGTTCAGAGACCGTGAAATAGATTGGAGCACAGTTCAGGTGGTGGATTACAATTAGAATGACAAATCAAACCCCTTTGTTCTAAAGCCTTGATCTAAGTTTATGTTGCAGGTTATTTCTGAGCATTCACTAAATAACAAAAGAGTAAAAAAAAAAAAACGAATGTAAAGTCTCCTGTGAGTCTTTTGACTACTTTGCATTAGAACTACTTAGCTCAGGGGAACATGAGGAGGCAGACATGGAGCCAAGTGCATAAACACCGCAGGTTAGTACTGCTCTTTACTGAAGGAGTAGGAGGATGATGAGGGGGCAATGTGGTAATGTGAGGGCACAGTGTTGTGCGTATGTGCGATGATTCACCCTGAAGTGCCTCCCAATGCGGCTGAAGGGCCTCTGTCACGCTTTTCAGCTCTGGGCTTTCACTGTCGCACTGCAGAGAGAACAAACACCACAGTGGCTTTGTGAAGATTTGTGTGTGTTGGGTATATGTTGTGAAATTGTTAGACATTACTGCACTGTCGGAGCTAGAAACACAAGCATTTCGCTACACCCGCGATAACATCTGCTAAACACGTGTATGTGACCAATACAATTTTATTTGATTTGATTTTGAACAGAACAAACACCACACTGGCTTTGTGAACAGAACTAAACCCAAATCCTGGTGTGTGTTCACTAAAGGAGAACAGTATACTGGTGTGTTTGTAAGGCAAGTGTTTGCTCTATAACCGTACCTGCCAGCTGTCTTGTGTGTGTGTGTACATGAGGAACGGCGTCTCTCGGCTATCCAGCAGGACCCAGAGCCGACCCTGGGGGTCAAAGGTCAAATCCAGAGGACAGTGAGGTAGGGTCACCCTGCTGGAGGGCACCAGCCGCTCCTCTGTCCCCTGCTCCATCCCAAACAACTGCACTGAGGGAACTCTGGAATACACAGGTCAAATATTATGTCAAAGGTTACACACACACACTCCACTGATCTACATAGCTAGTGTCATTTATATATGTGCACAGTACACTGTCAACTCCTGATATATGCACCGACCTCTCACACTGCACCGCCACATGATGTCCACCGGGGGACCCTGCTATCCTGCTGACTGCAGACCTCTGGGAACAAAGTTAAAAATGATGATGATGTCATAAACATAACATGGTTCAGGGGAAAATCGGCGACCTGCTAGAGTCTTGCATCGGGTCAGATACCCATGGTTCCCCGCGGTTGACTTCCCAAAAATAACAATAAAATCAGCTGGCAGGGGTGGAATGAAAACATTATTTCAACTCGTGGGTTGGCTGGCGGTTCAGAACAATTATATTTCGGGTCGGAAACGTTTAAAATCAATATAATATATGTATTTTTCAAAGCCAGGAGCTTGTTGTGTTGAATTGTGTTGCGAATCCCATTAGGCTATGTGAGCAGGTGAGGCAGACATAGCCAGGCCTTGGTAGGCTACCAGCCACGCAACGAGAGAGTCGAGCAGGGAACTGTCCATTAGTAGGTTTGTCCATTAGTAGGTTTATTTGTGTGGTGCTGAAACATTCCTAATTTGGCCAAGTGCAGAGCTTATTTTCCCTTCAACCACGCAACAATATGTTGCCAAGTTTATTTTCCCTGACTCCATAGGTCGCGTGAAAATGTCTAACGTAACAGGAGAAATAAAACATTTATGTTATGATGGTGAAATACACCATTGTGGAGACAGGTTTTGCTGAGTGAAATCCCCGCTTTGGAAGGACTTCGGCGTCATTGTGGACAAGGAGCACAACACCCCGGTAGCTGGATACACAGCCTGCAAAAGTATGAGCAGGTATTTGTTTACGATAATTCGGTATATTAACAGTTAATTATTACATTAATTTAGGTTTTCGTTCATTTAGACCATATGCAGGCAATGTAAAGTATAAACCTGTGCGGCTGGTAAAACTTTGAGTAGCTAATCGCCTACTAAATCAATGTAGCCTATTATGTTGCAGCCTATAGCCTATTAGATTCGGGGGAATTGTTTCTTTAAGTTTCAATTAAACTATTTGATAAAAGGTATTGTTTAGTTATGCCAGCTATAAGCTTTCATTAGGTAAGAAAAAGGCTAAGTAGCCATTTGAGTTGTCAATGTGCCGCAGCGCATTGTGAATACAACACAGGCCTATCGTTCTTAATTCACGGCATGGTTTCCTTTTATCCAAATGTTGAATAGACATGCTGACTAATTATGTCATGCGGGTAATGGGAATAGCCTACTACTCGAGTTATAAAAACAATTAGGCCTAAATAAATGGAAGTTATTTGGCGGGCCACGGAACAGCTCTCGTGAACAATTCTATGCGGGTGGCCGAGAAAAAAACTGTCCTGTCGTCGGGATGGCGAAAACCAAACACTTCATTCCACAGTAAGAACCTCATACCAACGGTCAAGCAGGGTGGTGGTAGTGTGATGGTCTGGGGACTTCGCTGCCTCAGGACCTGGACGACTTGACTTAATAGAAATATTCATGAATTCTGCTCTGTATCAGAGAATTCTACAGGAGAATGTCAGGACATCGGTCTGTGAGCTGAAGCTGAAGCGCCGCTGGGTCATGCAGCAAGACGACGATCCAAAACACACAATCAAGTCTACATGAAAATAGCTAAAAAAGCAACAGACTTTATGTTTTGGAATGGCCTAGTCAAAGCCAATACCTAATTCCAATTGAGATGTTGAGGCAGGACTTGAAACGTGCAGTTCATGCTTGAAAACCCACAAATGTTGCTGAGTTAAAGAAGTTCTGCATGCAAGAGTGGGCCAAAATTCTTCCACAGCGATGTGAGAGACTGATCAACAACTACAGGAAACATTTGATTGCAGTCATTGCAGCTAAAGGTGGCACAACCAGTTATGGAGTGTCTGGGGGCAATTACTTTTTCACACAGGGGAATTGGGTGTTGCATAACTTTGTTAATTAAATAAGTATCCATTTAATTTGTTATTTATAAACTCAGGTTCCCTATATCGAACATTAGGTTTTGGTTGAAGATCTGATAACATTTAGTATTTAAAAAATATGCAAAAAATTGAGAAATCAGAAAGGGGGAAAATACTTTTTCAAGGCACTGTATACATAGAGGGTGCACTGAACTATCAACAGTCAGCTCGATGGGTTGTGGCTTAGCATGAGCGAGAACAAAGAGAGCTATTCAGTATAGGTATGAATGACACGGATAATGAATGACAATGTTCACTAGTCGTTGTTAAATGCACACCCAGAAGAGGAATGACTCCTCCCTGTATCAGTGTGAGTGGCTTGGTTAACTACAGTCCCACAGGGACGCCGGCGCATTCCGGACTTCTGACCCCTTTAAAAACATTGTGTTTGAGCTACAGGCTTCTGGGTTGTACCATTGGATTGGTCCATACCTTCTGCGTCCATGGATACCAACCATTGGTCTGTGTGAGCTACAGCTCAGTAAGACAAGGGTCGGGTCCTGAAGGGGCCTGGGGCGGGACTTTTTACAAAAATGTCTATAGAGTCCGAACGGTTTGAGCTACAAACTATTAATGCAGGGTTTTTCAATCAAAAACTGATATTTTGACCAATGGGTAAAATAATGATAATTGCGTAGATACTCCTCTAAGAAAACCAATGGTCCAAACCTCATGTCTCCTATCATAACCAGTTCAACAGTTATTGGAGTTTCTACCCTTTTAGGATCCCACAAAATCAATGGAGGCCAGAGGGAAAAAAACTAAAAGGTAAACAAATCTGGAAAATAGCACTGTGTCAGCCAGGCTGGATTGTTGTGAGAGAATTAAGGCTTAATGACAGGCTCACCGTTGAATCCGGAGGACATAAAACAATATAGAGGTAAGATAGATATCGATTTTGAGACGTAGTATTTTCATATTTTAGTATACGCTTTTCATATTAATGCGAAAGTGGTGTTCTTTATGAAATATCAGAGCCCGGAACGTACCGCAAGCTTTTTTTTCTCTCCAAGCCTTTTACATTTAATTCAGTTTGTATTCATTTGGCTTTTTGCGACCCGCAGAAACAAATCTGCAGACGACCACCAGACGTCCTCAAAAGTCACTGGGAGAAAGCGGTGCTTATTATCAAATGTATTAGGTTACAAAATCCGACTTTTTTGATATAATGTTAATGATTCAGTATGTTAGAGAAAGACCCCACTGAACGATTCAGAACATGACAATTCATATTTGTCTTTTTAAAATGTATTTTATAACATAAGGAAGTGAAATTTGATCACCAAAGCGCGTTTTCACCCACTCTACAAAACAGGGCTCATGTGAGAAGTCAAGTGTTGGGATCTCAGGACTGATAGGGTTCATGTGAGAAGTCAAGTGGTCACCTTTTCCTTTCCTGTGTCAGAGTTCGGCATGTCCCTCAGCTGCTTCAGGTCCCAGCTCTGGAGCCTCCGACCCGACTCATACTCCCACAGCTTCATGGTCCCATCCTGTCAACACACACCGGCCCAGTCAGACATGCCGGCCCAGTCAGTAGAGCTAGGTCTGGACCAGTACAAGTGATACCTCTCTGAAAGATCGCCCAGCTTTAAGTCATAGAACTCAATTCAGCAGAATTGTAATATGTCTAGCAGTTTGTCTCGATCTCTCACCCCTGATCCAGAGAGTAGCCACTGTGGGTGTCCTGGTGGGGCCAATAGAGAACTGACAAACCTATGGAGAAATTTTTTTGAAATATCAGGAAATTAGTGGTAACCGACTGGTTAAGCATTCATGTTTAATTATGTCTCCTTTCCGTGGCCATTCCTTGCTAGGTAGGCCAGCCATACTCACTCCAAGTGTCCCAGGCAGAATGCCTGGATGTTGTGTGGTGACCTCAGGTGGCTGACCCTGATCTTCTCATCGCGGTCGGCTGTGATGACGTATTTGTCATTGGGGGTCAGGGTCTAGAGGAGAGGGGAGGGTGATATCCCAAACTGAGTGTCAGTTCCCTCGGGAGTTGTCCACTTGAAGAGCCATTGATCGTCATGTTACAATTGTGAAAATGTACAACCGTTGAAGGCGTCGGACCCCCTCAATTCTGCACAATCTGAGATGTAAGACGGGACCAAGTAAGGGCTGTCCCATCTCCTGAAAATGGCCTTTAAAAACATTCAACTAGGAAAAACTGCCTACCCTTTAATAAGAAAGTAAAATGTGCATGAATTAATCCTCTTTACCATTGATAGCAGCATGGATAGATGGCCCAGCTTCAACTCTCCTGTCTTCTGAGGCTCCACCACAGAGAAGGAGTAGACGTCACCTGACTTGTCTGCCGCCCACACCTCATCCTCAGCCTCGGTGAACACAAGAGATGTGCACCTTCGCACAACCCACCTGAAATCATACAACTGCCTCACTCAACAACTAAAAGAGAGCGGCAATCTCTTTGGATTTGTTGTCGATTTCAGTAAGTAGGATATTTGCTTTTTATCGGCTTGTTCTACGGATACCTTGTACTGATGACCTGCCATGAGGGTTCACAGCGGAACAGAACCAGGCGTTTGGTGTCATCTGTCAGCGCCACCAGCTTCGCCGAGGAGGAAATGGCAAACGCCAGGATCTTGTCACTACCCGTCTCTTCTGATCCATCACTACCAGGATGAAAGGGATCAGTACATTTCAGGTTAAATCATCTCTCTTGAAAAAGCTGCTTCTGACCACACAGTGACACACACGTTTCAAATCAAACAAGTGGTTCAGTCACATATCTAGGTCTCGGAAGTCTGATGATAACTCAGCAATGATGGGTACACTGCACGGACAACTGCCCATGGGTTTGGCAACACAATTCTGAGAGGTCAGTTGGCTGAAAATACATAGCGTGCTAATGTTGTTTACCTTTTGTTGTCGGCCTCTGTGTCCTTTGGCTTCTGTTCTGCTGCGCTGCAGTCAAACACAAATGGTTCTCTGGTACAAAAAGAGAAAGAACCATTTAATCATTGATGATTTCAAATGTGGACGTTGATTTCATACACATAGCTCGCTAGCCCAAGAAAGTACTAAATTAGCCTGTTTTGTACTGAGAGTACAAAACATTAGGAATACCTTCCTAATATTGAGTTGCAGCCTGTGCGCCTGGCACCTTCTACCATACCCCGTTCAAAGGCACTTCAATATTTTGTCTTGGCACACACACAATCCATGTCTCAATTGTCTCAAGGCTTAAAAATCCTTCTTTAACCTGTCTTCTCCCCTTCATCTACACTGATTTAAGTTGATTTAACAAGTGACATCAAAACGGGGTCACAGCGTTCACCTGGTCATTCTGTGATAGAAAAATATGTTGTACACTCAGTGTATACCGTCTATAAATGGACTAACTTAGCTAATAGCTGACTAGCTAGCATGATATGCAGCTAGTTATCTAATTTCTTTCTCATCGCTAGCCTACTAGCTTAGCTTATACGACGCATTATTGAACAAATAATACATTATTACACACATATTGAACAAATAATACGTTATTAAAAACCTGCTATTTTTAGTGTGTACTGCAATTAGCTTTTTTTCATAGGTTGAAACAAGCCATTCTCCACAGGCACCGAGAGCTGCCATGGCTCCTTCTACAAATACCGTTCACGTGGGACGCGCGGAAGTATTTTGTCGCACCTCTTTTACGTCACCAAAGAACAAAACGTTAACTAAAAGATTATGGATACTAGAGGTTTACATTTTAGTCATTTAGCAGACACTCTTATAGTTAGTGAGTGCATACATTATTATTTTATACTGACCCCCCGTGGGAATCGAACCCACAACCCCGGCGTTGCAAACGCCATGCTCTACCAACTGAGCTACATCCCTGCCGGCCATTCCCTCCCCTACCCTGGACGACGCTGGGCCAATTGTGCGCCGCCCATGAGTCTCCCGGTCGCGGCCGGCTGAGACAGAGCCTGGATTCGAACCAGGATCTCTAGTGGCACTGCGTGCCTTAGACCACTGCGCCACTCGGGATACCCACAAAATGTTAACACTCTTATTAAAAAAACCAGAAGAAGCTAAATCAATGGCTACAGCGGGACTTATGTTTAAAAGGGAAGAGTCTTAATAACCAAGGCTCAGGGTATCTCTAGTCTAACATATGCCGCTCGATCTTTATATCTCGACGGTAAAATAAGCAAAGCGATAGACCAGATGCTTTTCAACTTTCTGTGGAGAAACCGTACCCATTACATTAGGAAAACTATTGAGTATTGGTGGGCTGAATTTTTCTAGACTTTACTACCTTAAAGAATACGTTTAAGATCAATTGGATAAAACAATTCCTAAGAAGACCCACTTCTACGTGGAACTTTATTCCTCATCATGTCTTCTCTACTTCTGGTGGCCTTAACTTCATATTGGTTTGTAATTATAATATTGACAAAGTTCCAGTGAAACTCTCTGCTTTTCATCGGCAGGTTTTCTTGTCATGGTCCTTAATTTTTAAGCATAATTTTTCTCCACACAGATATTATATGTGGAATAAATGGGGAATATTGTATAAAAATACTTCTTTGATTTTAGAATATTGGTTCCGAAATAATATCCTATTGGTGTGCCAACTTGTAAATGCAGAGGGTCTTTCACTTAATTATAAGGAATTCTTATCACTTTACAAGATCCCCCTAACACCTAAAGATTTTGCAATTGTTTTAGGTGCCATTCCCTCAGGTGTTGCTTTATTATTCAGGAACGTGTCAAGACCTGACCCTCAGAATATACCTACGATTAACCCTGTTGACTCATCAGTAGGAAAGATTTGTTTTTCTTTTGGTCCATACAACAACAATAGAGTTATAGAAGCCTTGTTTCAGCGGGATGTTGTATCTATAGCTTATTGTTCTTCGGCTTGCAAGCGGCCCCCCTTTTTCCTCCAAACATCCAGGCTCTGTTGTAGCCGGCCGTGACCGGGAGACCTATGGGGCGGCGCACAATTGGCCCGGCGTCGTCCAGGGTAGGGGAGGGAACGGCCGGCAGGGATGTAGCTCAGTTGGTAGAGCATGGTGTTTGCAACGCCAGGGTTGTGGGTTCGATTCCCAAGGGGGGGGGTATAAAAAATAAAAAATAATACTCAAACAAAAATAATGTATGCACTCACTAACTGTAAGTCGCTCTGGATAAGAGCGTCTGCTAAATGACTAAAATGTAAATGTAAAAATGTCACGCCCTATTGGAATGGTTTTATTGATAATATCTGTTGGAAAAAAAGTTTGTATGTTGCCACACACTTATACTTATTAGCAAAATTTAAGGAAGTTTCTTTTTAAATTATTCATAAATATGATCCTGCCAACCACTGTATGAAGAAGTTTATGAAAAACATAAATTCAAATTGTACTTTTTGTAATGACCACCCAGAAACGGTGTTGCATATTTTTTGGCATTTTATTCATGTAAGGAATCTGTGGCAAGACATCAGTAGATTTATAATTGAACACATTTATGAAGATTTTACACTATTATGGAGAGATGTACTGCTTGTACCTACTATAGAAATAAATTGAAACAATTTTATGTAATTAAGTTCATTATTCTTTTGGCCAAATTTCATATTCTAAAATGTATATTTACAAACAAAACACCACATTTTCTTACCTTACAAAAATACATTACACTATATTTTAAGACAATTAAATACTCTACCAACAAAAAAGCTGTAAGAATTATAAATGTGTGTATGCCACTTAAGGGCCTTGTGTAATGTGATATTGTACCCCCTAGCCCAATTGACCTTTGTATATTCTTTATATATACTTGTATACTTTATATATACTCGTACAGCCGCGAGCTGCCCAGTGACACAAGCCTACCAGACGAGCTAAACCACTTCTATGCTCGCTTCGAGGCAAGCAACACTGAAGCATGCATGAGAGCACCAGCTGTTCCGGATGACTATGTGATCACGCTCTCCGTAGCCGATGTGAGTAAGACTTTTAAGCAGGTCAACATTCACAAGGCCGCAGGGCCAGACGGATTACCAGGACGTGTACTCCGAGCATGTGCTGACCAACTGGCAAGTGTCTTCACTGACATTTTCAACATGTCCCTGACTGAGTCTGTAATACCAACATGTTTCAAGCAGACCACCATAGTCCCTGTGCCCAAGGACACTAAGATAACCTGCCTAAATGACTACCGACCCGTAGCACTGACGTCTGTAGCCATGAAGTGCTTTGAAAGGCTGGTCATGGCTCACATCAACAGCATTATCCCAGAAACCCTAGACCCACTCCAATTTGCATACCGCCCTAACAGATCCACAGATGATGCAGTCTCTATTGCACTCCACACTGCCCTTTCCCACCTGGACAAGAGGAACACCTACGTGAGAATGCTATTCAATGACTACAGCTCAGCGTTCAACACCATAGTGCCCTCAAAGCTCATCACTAAGCTAAGGATCCTGGGACTAAACACCTCCCTCTGCAACTGGATCCTGGACTTCCTGACAGGCCGCCCCCAGGTGGTAAGGGTAGGTAACAACACATCTGCCACACTGATCCTCAACACGGGGGCCCCTCAGGGGTGCGTGCTCAGTCCCCTCCTGTACTCCCTGTTCACCCATGACTGCATGGCCAGGTACGACTCCAACACCATCATTAAGTTTGCAGACGACACAACAGTGGTAGGCCTGATCACAGACAACGATGAGACAACCTATAGGGAGGAGGTCAGAGACCTGGCCGTGTGGTGCCAGGATAACAACCTCTCCCTCAACGTGACCAAGACAAAGGAGATGATTGTGGACTACAGGAAAAAAAAAAGAGGACTGAGCACGCCCCCATTCTCATCGACGGGGCTGTAGTGGAACAGGTTGAGAGCTTCAAGTTCCTTGGTGTCCACATCACCAACAAACTATCATGGTCCAAACACACCAAGACAGTCGTGAAGAGCGCACGACAAAGCCTATTCCCCCTCAGGAGACTGAAAAGATTTGGCATGGGTCCTCAGATCCTCAAAAAATTCTACAGCTGCACCATCGAGAGCATCCTGACTGGTTGCATCACCACCTGGTATGGCAACTGCTTGGCCTCTGACCGCAAGGCACTACAGAGGGTAGTGCGTACGGCCCAGTACATCACTGGGGCCAAGCTTCCTGCCATCCAGGACCTCTATACCAGGCGGTGTCAGAGGAAGGCCCTCAAAATTGTCAAAGACTCCAGCCACCCTAGTCATAGACTGTTCTCTCTGCTACCGCACGGCAAGCGGTACCGGAGTGCCAAGTCTAGGTCCAAAAGACTTCTCAACAGCTTCTACCCCCAAGCCATAAGACTCCTGAACAGCTAATCATGGCTACCCGGACTATTTGCACTGCCCCCCCCCACACCCCATCTTTTTATGCTGCTGCTACTCTGTTAATTATTTATGCATAGTCACTTTAACTCTACCCACATGTGCATATTACCTCAACTACCTCAACTAGCCGGTGCCCCCGCACATTGACTCTGCACCGGTACCCCCCTGTATACAGTGGGGAGAACAAGTATTTGATACACTGCCGATTTTGAAGGTTTTCCGACTTACAAAGCATGTAGAGGTCTGTAATTTTTATCATAGGTACACTTCAACTGTGAGAGACGGAATCTAAAACAAAAATCCAGAAAATCACATTGTATGATTTTTAAGTAATTAATTTGCATTTTATTGCATGACATAAGTATTTGATACATCAGAAAAGCAGAACTTAATATTTGGTACAGAAACCTTTGTTTGCAATTACAGAGATCATACGTTTCCTGTAGGTCTTGACCAGGTTTGCACACACTGCAGCAGGGATTTTGGCCCACTCCTCCATACAGATCTTCTCCAGATCCTTCAGGTTTCGGGGCTGTCGCTGGGCAATACGGACTTTCAGCTCCCTCCAAAGATTTTCTATTGGGTTCAGGTCTGGAGACTGGCTAGGCCACTCCAGGACCTTGAGATGCTTCTTACGAAGCCACTCCTTAGTTGCCCTGGCTGTGTGTTTCGGGTCGTTGTCATGCTGGAAGACCCAGCCACGACCCATCTTCAATGCTCTTACTGAGGGAAGGAGGTTGTTGGCCAAGATCTCGCGATACATGGCCCCATCCATCCTCGCCTCAATACAGTGCAGTTGTCCTGTCCCCTTTGCAGAAAAGCATCCCCAAAGAATGATGTTTCCACCTCCATGCTTCACGGTTGGGATGGTGTTCTTGGGGTTGTACTCATCCTTCTTCTTCCTCCAAACACGGCGAGTGGAGTTTAGACCAAAAAGCTCTATATTTGTCTCATCAGACCACATTACCTTCTCCCATTCCTCCTCTGGATCATCCAGATGGTCATTGGCAAACTTCAGACGGGCCTGGACATGTGCTGGCTTGAGCAGGGGGACCTTGCGTGCGCTGCAGGATTTTAATCCATGACGGCGTAGTGTGTTACTAATGGTTTTCTTTGAGACTGTGCTCCCAGCTCTCTTCAGGTCATTGACCAGGTCATGCCGTGTAGTTCTGGGCTGATCCCTCACCTTCCTCATGATCATTGATGCCCCACGAGGTGAGATCTTGCATGGAGCCACAGACCGAGGGTGATTGACCGTCATCTTGAACTTCTTCAATTTTCTAATAATTGCGCCAACAGTTGTTGCCTTCTCACCAAGCTGCTTGCCTATTGTCCTGTAGCCCATCCCAGCCTTGTGCAGGTCTACAATTGTATCCCTGGTGTCCTTACACAGCTCACTGGTCTTGGCCATTGTGGAGAGGTTGGAGTCTGTTTGATTGAGTGTGTGGACAGGTGTCTTTTATACAGGTAACGAGTTCAAACAGGTGCAGTTAATAAAGGTGATGAGTGGAGAACAGGAGGGCTTCTTAAAGAAAAACTAACAGGTCTGTGAGAGACGGAATTCTTACTGGTTGGTAGGTGATCAAATACTTATGTCATGCAATAAAATGCAAATTAATTACTTTAAAATCATACAATGTGCTTTTCTGGATTTTTGTTTTAGATTCTGTCTCTCACAGTTGAAGTGTACCTATGATAAAAATTACAGACCTCTACATGCTTTGTAAGTAGGAAAACCTGCAAAATCGGCAGTGTATCAAATACTTGTTCTCCCCACTGTAAATAGCCTCCCTACTGTTATTTTATTTTACTTCTGCTCTTTTTTTCTCAACACTTTTTTGTTTTATTTTACTTTTTTATAAAAAATAAATGCACTGTTGGTTAAGGGCTGTAAGTAAGCATTTCACTGTAATGTCTGCACCTGTTGTATTCGGCGCATGTGGCCAATAAAATTTGATTTCATGTTGTGGTCTTACAGTGCCTTCAGAAAGTATTCATACCCCTTGACTTATTCCACATTTTGTTTTACAGCCTGAATTCAAAATATATATATTTTTCTCACCCATCCACACACGATACCCCATGGTGACAGTGAAAACATGTTTTCAGAAATTTTTCCAAATGTATTGAAAATGAAATACTGAAATATCTCATTTACATACAGTGAGGGAAAAACGTATTTGATCCCCTGCTGATTTTGTATGTTTGCCCACTGACAAAGACATGATCAGTCTATAATTTTAATGGTAGGTTTATTTGAACAGGGAGAGACAGAATAACAACAACAAAATCCAGAAAAACGCATGTCAAAAATGTTATAAATTGATTTGCATTTTAATGAGGGAAATAAGTATTTGACCCCTCTGCAAAACATGACTTAGTACTTGGTGGCAAAACCCTTGTTGGCAATCACAGAGGTCAGACGTTTCTTGTAGTTGACCACCAGGTTTGCACACATCTCAGGAGGGATTTTATCCCACTCCTCTTTGCAGATCTTCTCCAAGTCATTAAGGTTTCAAGGCTGACGTTTGGCAACTCGAACCTTCAGCTCCCTCCACAGATCTTCTATGGGATTAAGGTCTGGAGACTGGCTAGGCCACTCCAGGAACTTAATGTGCTTCTTCTTGAGCCACTCCTTTGTTGCCTTGGCCGTGTGTTTTGGGTCATTGTCATGCTGGAATACCCATCCACGACCAATTTTCAATGCCCTGGCTGAGGGAAGGAGGTTCTCACCCAAGATTTGACGGTACATGGCCCCGTCCATCGTCCCTTTTATTTGGTGAAGTTGTCCTGTCCCCTTAGCAGAAAAACACCCCCAAAGTATAATGTTTCCACCTCCATGTTTGACGGTGGGGATGGTGTTCTTGGGGTCATAGGCAGCATTCCTCCTCCTCCAAACACGGCGAGTTGAGTTGATGCCAAAGAGCTCGATTTTGGTCTCATCTGACCACAACACTTTCACCCAGTTCTCCTCTGAATCAGTCAGATGTTCATTGGCAAACTCCAGACGGGCCTGTATAGGTGCTTTCTTGAACAGGGGGACCTTGCGGGTGCTGCAGGATTTCAGTCCTTCACGGCGTAGTATGTTACCAATTGTTTTCTTGGTGACTATGGTCCCAGCTGCCTTGAGATCATTGACAAGATCCTCCCGTGTAGTTCTGGGCTAATTCCTCACCGTTCTCATGATCATTGCAACTCCACGAGGTGAGATCTTGCATGGAGCCCCAGGTCGAGGGAGATTGACAGTTATTTTGTGTTTCTTCCATTTGCGAATAATCGCACCAACTGTTGTCACCTTCTCACCAAGCTGCTTGCCGATGGTCTTGTAGCCCATTCCAGACTTGTGTAGGTCTACAATCTTGTCCCTGACATCCTTGGATTGCTCTTTGGCCTTGGCCATGGTGGAGAGTTTGGAATCTGATTGATTGCTTCTGTGGACAGGTGTCTTTTATACAGGTAACAAACTGAGATTAGGAGCACTCCCTTTAAGAGTGTGCTCCTAATCTCAGCTCGTTACCTGTATAAAAGGCACCTGGGAGCCAGAACTCTTTCTGATTGAGAGGGGGTCAAATACTTATTTCCCTCATTAAAATGCAAATAAATTGATAACATTTTTTACATGCGTTTTTCTGGATTTTTGTTGTTGTTACTCTGTCTCTCACTGTTCAAATAAAACTACCATTAAAATTATAGACTGATCATTTCTTTGTCAGTTGGCATACGTACAAAATCAGCAGGGGATCAAATACTTTTTTCCCTCACTGTAAGTATTTACACCCCTGAGTCAATACTTTGTAGAATCAAATACAAAAAAATGTCTCGCATGCGCCGAATACACCTTACAGTGAAATGCTTACTTACAGGCCCTTAACCAACAATGCAGTTTTAAGAAAAATAAGTGTTAAGTAAAAATTAGATACTTTTTTTCGAGGCTGACGTTTGGCAACTCGAACCTTCAGCTCCCTCCACAGATTTTCTATGGGATTAAGGTCTAAAAAAAAAATATTTGACTAAAAAACAAACATTAAAGAGCAGCAGTAAAATAACAGTAGCGAGGCTATATACAGGGGGTACCGGTACAGTCAATGTGCGGGGCACAGGTTAGTCAAGGTAATTGAGGTAAAATGTATACTACCGGTCAAAAGGTTTAGAACGCCTACTAATTCAAGGGTTTTTCTTTTATTTTGACTGTTTTCTACATTGTAGAATTATAGTGAAGACATCAAAACTATGAAATAACACATATAGAATCATTTATTAACCATAAAAGTGTTAAACAAATCAAAATATATTTTATATTTCAGATTCTTCAATAGCCACCCTTTGCCTTGATGACAGTATGAAAAATGTATGCACTCACTAACTGTAAGTCGCTCTGGATAAGAGCGTCTGCTAAATGACTAAAATGTAAATGTGTTATTGATTTAGTAAACAATGCCATGCGGGTGGGTCGTAGCATTAAAATAAAACCCAGCCCTGAAACAAAACGTTTCTGATACAGATTATTTTGTGTTTCTGGCCCTTAAAATCGAAGCATAGTATGCCTGCAACACAATGCATTGCTTTTTAAAATGGACAAATCTTTTAATTGGGGCCAAATTTGAGCAAATTCTGAAATTGTGATCATCACAATTAACTACAGAAAATCATGCAATTCATTATTTCATTGTTTTCACAGCCCTAGTTGCAGTTATATTGTAACTATTTGGATCAGTGCATGCAGGCAGAGAGCTGGAGAACGTTGAGTGCTGCTGCCCTGTGCACGAAAGCTGGTGGTCCAAAGAAGCCCAAGAAGAGCAGCTCAGGAAGTAAGTTTTGATCAGCATTTAATTTGACAAAAAAAATACCTCACAATTATTTATAGTTTATGATACTTTAGCAGATGTCAATTCTGTGGGCGGCAGGTAGCTTAGTGGTTAAGAGCGTTGTGCCGGTAACCGAAAGGTCGCTGGTTCTAATCCCGAGCCGACTAGGTGAAAAATCTGTCGATGTGCCCTTGAGCAAGGCACTTAACCCTACTTGCTCCTGTAAGTCGCTCTGGATAAGAGCGTCTGCTAAATGTAAACATTTAAATGTAATGTAAATGTTGAGCATAGTGAGGGTGCTACAAATATCAATACAATTACACATCAGATCCAAATTATACTTACTTGGCCATTTTCTTGTGTATTTGACAAAGGGACTTAAAGTAGTTGGCACACAATGACAAACTCAGAAAGAGTTGGCTGTGGACTATCCACAGATTTGATTTAGCTGTAATGCTATTCATCAATTGATCCAGGAGGAGAAGAGAGACCCATTGACAGCAAGACTGATAAAACGCCCCAATGTGGCTCATCTGATTTGAAGACTTCACTAGAGATATGAACACCTCGTTTGTCCCGGAATATTTCTATTAGTAGTGAGACTTTTTATTTATTTATTTTTTATATATATTTTTTATGAGAAGTTCCTTTTTGGGGAAACATTTTCCATGACCAATCAAGAACATTACATCGCCAATCAAGATGGACATGCACTGCCATTATGAAGATGCACAGAAGAAATACATTTCAAAGGTCTTTCAGATGCTGAAGATATTGTGTACAGTAGCCCTACAGTATTTGAGCTGTGCTGTCAATCACTGCTGAAACAGCACACTGAACTGACTGGCAGCAACTGCTGCTGCACGTTATGCCTTTAGTCAAACCATGACCTTTACTCTACTAATACAGTGAGGGAAAAAAGTATTTTATCTCCTGCTGATTTTGTACGTTTGCCCACTAACAAAGAAATGATCAGTCTATAATTTTAATGGTAGGTTTATTTGAACAGTGAGATACAGAATAACAACGAAAAAATCCAGAAAAAAGCATGTCAAAAATGTTATAAATTGATTTGCATTTTAATGAGGGAAATACGTATTTGACCCCCTCTCAATCAGAAAGATTTCTGGCTCCCAGGTGTCTTTTATACAGGTAACGAGCTGAGATTAGGAGCACACTCTTAAAGGGAGTGCTCCTAATCTCAGTTTGTTACCTGTATAAAATACACCTGGGAGCCAGAAGCTATCAATCAATCAGATTCCAAACTCTCCACCATGGCCAAGACCAAAGAGCTCTCCAAGGATGTCAGGGACAGGATTGTAGACCTACACAAGGCTGGAATGGGCTACAAGACCATCGCCAAGCAGCTTGGTGAGAAGGTGCCAACAGTTGGTGCGATTATTCGCAAATGAAAGAAACACAAAATAACTGTCAATCTCCCTCGGCCTAGGGCTCCATGCAAGATCTCACCTCGTGGAGTTACAATGATCATGAGAACGATGAGGAATCCGCCCAGAACTACACGGGAGGATCTTGTCAATGATCTCAAGGCAGCTGGGACCATAGTCACCAAGAAAACAATTGGTAACTCACTACGCCGTGAAGAACTGAAATCCTGCAGCGCCCGCAAGGTCCCCCTGCTCAAGAAAGCACATATACATGCCCGTCTGAAGTTTGCCAATGAACATCTGAATGATTCAGAGGAGAACTGGGTGAAAGTGTTGTGGTCAGATGAGACCAAAATGGAGCTCTTTGGCATCAACTCAACTCGCCGTGTTTGGAGGAGGAGGAATGCTGCATATGACCCCAAGAACACCATCCCCACCGTCAAACATGGAGGTGGAAACATTATGCTTTGGGGGTGTTTTTCTGCTAAGGGGACAGGACAACTTCACCGAATCAAAGGGACAATGGACGGGGCCATGTACCGCCAAATCTTGGGTGAGAACCTCCTTCCCTTAGCCAGGGCATTGAAAATTAGTTGTGGATGGGTATTCCAGCATGACAATGACCCAAAACACACGGCCAAGGCAACAAAGGAGTGGCTCAAGAAGAAGCACATTAAGGTCCTGGAGTGGCCTAGCCAGTCTCCAGACCTTAATCCCATAGAAAATCTGTGGAGGGAGCTGAAGGTTCGAGTTGCCAAACGTCAGCCTCGAAACCTTAATGACTTGGAGAAGATCTGCAAAGAGGAGTGGGATAAAATCCCTCCTGAGATGTGTGCAAACCTGGTGGCCAACTACAAGAAACGTCTGACCTCTGTGATTGCCAACAAGGGTTTTGCCACCAAGTACTAAGTCATGTTTTGCAGAGGGGTCAAATACTTATTTCCCTCACTAAAATGCTAATCAATTTATAACATTTTCGACATGCATTTTTCTGGATTTTGTTGTTGTTATTCTGTCTCTCACTGTTCATGCTGAAGCATCCTGGAGGCCTGTATTTGCAGCCAAAAGGCTGAGGAATCTACAATTCTGAATCCTCTAGAAGGATTTTATTTCTGCAGGCCGCTTGTACCACAATTTGAGCAAATGTCTCAGCTAGTTCCACAAATTGTTTCTATATTAAGTGATGGTGAAAAATGCAAATTAATTTGATGTTTTCCTACCCCGGGTATCAACATAAAATGAATTTTTTTTCACAGCTTTCACTAATATAATCAGATATTTTTCAAACAATAGTATCCTCTTATATAAGTTGAATTTTTTCTCGTACTCGATAACAAGAATTGTCAATGAAAGATAGTTTTGGCTAGCTGGGGAAGTTTATCTTGGCACTTAATTATGAAACTATACTTTGATTTAAAATGTCATGTTTTTACTATGTCCCTCCATTAACAGTACTGTTACACTTTTTGTGGCCCTTCTTGAAATGTTACACTTTGTACCCTTTCTAGTCCAGTCTCCATACAGTGGGGGGGAAAAAAGTATTTAGTCAGCCACCAATTTAGTCAGCCACGATTTTTTTTCTCTCATTTTGTCTGTCATAGTTGACGTGTACCTATGATGAAAATTACAGGCCTCTCTCTTCTTTTTAAGTGGGAGAACTTGCACAATTGGTGGCTGACTAAATACATTTTTCCCCACTGTATGTGTCTTGCAAAGGGATATTCTTGAATACTCTCTGGGGGTAGCCATGTTCCGCTGGGTAAGTTTCGTCCACATTTTTAAGGCAAAGTGGGGGCATGTTGGCGTACAATCCTTTTAGACTACTTAGAGAATATAAATACATCTGGTTTGTTCCCCCCCCCCCCCCCGTCCTTTAGAGAAGCTTGTCCCACACAGAAAATATGTGGAGTTTCCCAAGAAAGAAGTGACACCAGCGGCCGCTGCTGCAGCAGAAGTTGGCGCCGCCCCCAAGCCTGTTGTTGAAGACACTGCAGCAGAGTCGATTGTTGCCGCAGCTGACGCTGTACCATCCCCCGCTGCAGCCGAAGCTGCTCCTGTCGTCCAAGCAGCCGAAGCCGCTCCTGTTGTTGAAGCAGCTTCCCCTGCTGCAGCCGAAGCTGCTCCTGTCGTTGAAGCTTCATCAGCAGCCGACGCTCGTATTGAAGCCGTCCCAGATGTTGCTGCTGCCCCTGCAGAAGCTGTTGCTGAAGCTGCCTCAGTTGAAGCTGCCTCAGTTGAAGCTGCTGCAGAAGCTGTTGCTGAAGCTGCCTCAGTTGAAGCTGCTGCAGAAGTTGTGGCTGAATCTGCAGCCATTGAAGGTGCAGCTGAAGCCCTCGTTGAAGTTGTAGCAGAGGTTGTGGCTGAAGCTGCCCAAGTTGAAGCTGCAGCAGAGGAGCTGATTGCAGAGGCCCCGGCTGAGGCAGAACGGATTGCGGCGTCTGAGGGTATACCCCCTTCTTTCCTCTATGGACCCTACAGTTTACCAACAGTCATATTTTAATTCCCATGTGAATATATTATAACTATAAGGATAACTTGTAAAGATACCTAATATCACAAAAGCACTTTTCGTTCTTGCTTTGCGCAGCTTATTGGCTTGTCTTTTTCAGTGGGCTTATTTACCACATAATGTATTTGCTATTTATCCCTCAAAGAACTACCACATGTCTACATCATTGCAGCCATGTGGACTCAAGCCACAGCCACACCCCCTCTTCCCCCAACCCGGTCCTTCTGGGATTCTATGCATTAACCTGTAACCATACTGCTTTGACCATCCAACACCCGATGCATGTCTCCACTGCATACTCATCAGCACGGCTTCATCATTTCCTCTCTGGTTCATCTGTGATGGTCAGCACTGATCTTCTTGGCTCAGTATCTTTTATTTTGCCATGTTTTTCCAGCACTTAACTAATTCTGAACTGCACTCATCCTGCTGCAAGTTTGTTTCTCGACATCGTTCTATGTTTTCCTTCTGTCACTTGATCATTGTGAATTCTGTTCTTATTTGCGCAACTCCTCTTTCATATCCTCCTCTATTCCCTTCACTGAATATTGTTACGACGCCCTCAATTTAACGTTTTTTTATTTTTATAATTTCAACTATTGTCCGGTTTGTTTTACGTTACATGTGGTCCTCTGTAGCTCAGCTGGTAGAGCACGGCGCTTGTAACGCCAAGGTAGTGGGTTCGATCCCCGGGACCACCCATACACAAAAATGTATGCACGCATGACTGTAAGTCGCTTTGGATAAAAGCGTCTGCTAAATGGCATATTATTATTATTATTATTATAATTTGTACGGTTAATGCGTACTGTCAAAGGTAATGTTGAGGTCATACTAAGCAGCGTTTTGGCTAGTCTGGTGTCTCTGGGCAGCTACTAAGGGATGACATTGTGAAATGGGGTGTGATATTAGGATTCTGTTTCCTACTCTCCCCCTCAACTTCTCTCACACTTGTGTTTTCCCTGAGTCGCATGATATCAGTAATCTGTCATTGATCCCCTCACTTCTGTATTTGATTGGTGCTGTATATCATATGACTTTGGAAATGTCAACTTTCCTTCCCCTTGGTGGTCAATGCACTGAGTTTGAAACTGCACCTTGGTTGCTGGGTGTGGAATCAAACATGAGTGGGGAAAGAAGTTGTTACATTTTACTGTTAAATGTACATTCATTGGTTATATACGCAGGGATTTAAATTGGACATCTCAAATATAGAACCCATTGTCTGCCAAGTGATGCTATGAACTTCACAGATGTGATGCATAGCATTCCCCTTCACGGCAACTTATAACCTGTTACCTGACCTTTTCTAACATTAATCTTTCCTCTCTTACCCTTGTAGATGCTATACATTGTCTACCACTCCTAGGTGCTGTTTTTGTGCATGAGGGTCTTGGTCACAGACGTGATTCGTTTTTATCATGTGGTTCAAGCCAAAAGGGCATAGCCTGCTTGCCGTCTCTGTTCAGTTATTGCGTTCCACTCCTTGCCAGTCCTGTCATTTTCCAAAGAGACTAGCTTTTCACAATCTTCAAATATGAACATTCTATCATTAATGAGCTATAAAGATCATAGGATTTGATCATGATTTCGATAAACCTCATAGCTATCATCCAATCACAATGTTTATGCAAATTAGACTGATAGGAAAACTATTTAACTTAATGACGACAGGTGCCAGTTTTTCATTTCTTTCTTCTCAGAAAACATAGTTCGATTTAATCTTGTAGGCTAATATTTTCCGTATCATTATTTCTCTCACTACGGAGTCCTCACTAGCCACTTATAATTCTATGTTGCGCCAAATTTGGGCGCACTCCATGTTCCATAACTTTGTAATGGCAAATATGTATATATTTTTCCAACTACCAATCAGGAACTGCGCTGCAAATCTGGCTGCATTTTGAACGTTCGGTTGGCCAAAGGCCAGTCTCTTTGGCCAATGACAGGAGTGGCAAGTTACCTAACCAGACTGGTACCCAGACTAAAAAGGGGAACTGCTGTAAATGAATATAAAATAATTGTTGTTTTATTTCCTTGAACTATCAGGTCAACTGGACCCAATCCAGAAGTTCTTCCTAGATTCGATCCGTGAGTACTCCTCAAAGAGCGTGTAAGTTACACAGCTGTTTTTGGCTAGCTCTTCTGTCTTGCTCACGATCATCCCCTTTGTCATCAAGCTGACATTTTTACCTTATTTTTCTCAGGGCCAGTGGTGGTTTGGTAGATGCAGACCCTGCATATGAGAAGAACTTGGCAGAGGAGCTGACTAAACTCCAGCGACTGTATGGTGGTGGAGACCTCGTAGCTTTCCCAGAGTTCAAGTTCACAGGTTAGTAGTTTTATAAAGGAGGCCATGAGCCTTTTTTGAAATGCTTTTAGCTTCTTCTAGGACCAGGAATATAATGCATGCATATTCTCATCGCACACCTTTTTTCTCTCCCTGTGCAGAGCCCAAGCTGGAGGAAGTGGCCCCCCAAGTAAACATCACCAGTTAACTTTTCTACTGCTTTTTCCTGTCCATCTGTTCTATGAAGTGGAAGTATAATGATCAATTACATACTGTGTCAAGTTGACGCTAAAATCCTTTTAATTTTGTATGTGGGGAATAGATGTGGGGAATGTTTCCGTATATCTAGAAATTCTCTGTGAATGAAAGTCTGCATTAGATGCACAAGTTGGAGGACAAGCGGGGGGGGGAAGAAATAAACTCTGATCCATATTCTACTTTTGTCGCCGTCTTTCGTTCAAAGTTGATCAATGTCGTCCAAGTCAACATCATCATTGTAAATTTACATTTTAGTCATTTAGCAGACGCTCTTATCCAGAGCGACTTACAGTTAGCACATACTACGACAGAGCCTGGATTCGAACCAGGATCTCTAGTGGCACAGCTAGCACTGCGATGCAGTGCCTTAGACCACTGCGCCACTCGGGAGAGAAATCACATGCACTGGCACTGGCACTGGCACAGGCACTTAACCAAGTCAACATCATAATTGTAAATCACATGTATTGTATAACTGCACATCATTTACTGAATGCAGATTGACCTTGAAACCACAATTACAGGGAAGTTGTGCTCACAGACTTGGGTTACCATGCATGCCCATCCACAAGTCCAATGTTAAACCTATAAATAACTGCACTTTCAGTGACCACTTTGAAGTCTTAAACACTACATTTCATATTGTACTTTCACCATATTTAGGGTCCTGACCTGTCACTAAAGCCCTGAAGGTCACATGCAGGTATGTTAAAGTGGAATTACCAGACACAGCAACAGACACTGGAGGTATTTTACATCTCATTTGTCTTGAAGCACCCAAGAGAACGTATACATAAAATTGAAAGACTTGAGTGAAATCATTCGGTGCTTTATGCAACTCCATGACATTTTCATTAAGGAGTTGTCAACTGATGTGTTGGTATTTACACTGTATGTGTTTAATAAAATATTGATTAAAATGACTAGATGGTAAAGATATCAGAATTCTAAGTGGTTAACTACCTTTTATATTATGAGAATAAACATATTCAAGGAGTATCTACTTTTTACTTTGGCACAAATTAAACAATTGTTAAAATCCACTGAGGTGGTAAAAGCTGTTTTTATGATTTTGTAAAATCCGCTGAGGTGGTAAAAGCTATTTTTTATCACCCTGCCAAAGAGGAACTAATGTCGTCCCCAGACACTTCCGCCCAAATGCGCTGGCCTGGGGAGGTTACAGAGCAACATTATTCTCGTGTTTCCCCACGGAAAATAATAGAGGGAGCACCAAAATGGCGACCTCCTTACTTCGGCTAGGACGACTGGGGTCTCTCAAGGTACTATTCGTTGTTTATTGTCTAAACATGTTTTTCTTCAGTTGTCATTTCGATTATTTTACAAATAGCATATTCGTTTGATGATTGGTTTGTACAGTAATCAACGTACCGTAACCGTTTTCTTTTAACATTAGCTAGTGTCCTTCTGTCCTGTTGACCGGAGGAGCAGGACTGCTAGCTATACATGCCATCATCGCCATCTCACGTTTTGAGACTGTGCTTTATCTCTGGCGTTTTATTTATTCGCAAATTATGGCGATGACATTTATCATGCATAACAATACGTGCTCATTAATCAGAATGAAGCTAGATAGTTAGGTTGGTAGGTAACTAGCTAACACATTGAATAACTAACGTTAAGTCATGATTTGCTTGTTCTGGTCCCATTGTCAAGCTTGAAACATGTTTGGCAGACAATTCCACAAGGAGCTGACAAGAGGGCATAAACACACTGGAACCCAGGGCCAGACTAATGAAGGCTGAATTTACAATACAAAACAATGGTATGTATGTATGTATTTCTGTGCAGGTTATCCAAAAAGAGAGCTGGGGCCTTTTGAGGAGCTCCTCTGCCGCAGCATTCTGCACCAAGGCGGGGGGGACAAAGAAAGCTCTTAAAAAGGCGACGGCTACAAGTAAGAGTGCGGCTATTCTTTTCTTTCATTTACGTTAATATGTTCTATTCCTATGTCCTTTTTATTCTCCCCTAGGTAACAGTAACGCCATTTCTCTCTCAGGTATAGCCCACACTTGGATTATCTCCCTGATGTGCCAAAACAATCACATCCTGGAACCTTACAGGATGTGATTGCCCAATGCCAATTGTACTTCTCTTTTAAACATGTGCTTGATTGCACTGGAACCGGGATTAGGGATGCAAATTCCGGTCAATTTTGCTGCCGACTAATTGACCCTCATTAACCGGTTAACAAACGGTTAAATTTTTTCCAAATAGTAAAATGACGTGACCAACAGGAAATACTATAAGAGATCTGTATATAATGACGAGGGGCTTATTTCTCCGGCCTAACAATGGTAGCCGTCCCAAGGCTGTAAGGCAGATGACATAGAAACACATTGGGTTCGTTTTGGACAGATTTTGGTCGAGGGTTAAAGCTCTCGCTTCGTCTCTTCCTCTGATACTAAGCATGCACACAAGGACCGGACATTTTTCATTAAGAGCTGAAACATGCAACAATAGCAAGCCTATCGCGTTACGGGCAAAAGGCTATAACCTATTATTGAATATGCAACTCCTGTAATAAAGCAGCTAATTTTCAATAATCATTTTCAAACATTTGCCGAAATGCAATTTGCTGGAAAACACTGTTCTAAACCTAATGCGAGCAGTTGTGACAGAGATTAACATCTCCGTTAGAAACGTAGAAAGAGGGGGAATCTATAACAACAGCTAGGATGGGTTGCTAATATGACTAGGATTGTGCCTTCGGCTTCTGGACAACGGAAGAAAGTGGATATGAAAACTAGATCAGGAGAGAAATGCTGGCTAATGGCATCAGGAAGTCTTTATAAAATAATTGCCTCCACGTTTCTATGGATGGATTTTCACAAGGCTACTTTGAAACAAGGTAAGACATCATTCCTCATTATTCGAAGTAAAGCTTTCAGACAATTCCTGCCTCAAGCTCATATTGCAAAGTGATGGTAGCTACCTATGGAGGACTAAAAGTGCCACAATTAAATAAATAAATACACCATTAAATAATTACTTAAATGTGTTATTAAATGTGTCATTAATTAATTCAAATACCGATTCATTTTATGTAAAATACATATATAATAATTTCACTATTTACATTTACATTTCATGGTCCTGCGTTGGAGTGCTTCCTGAATTACTTAAAACTGTCAAACTGACCCATCAAAAGTTGGTAGGCGGAACCTAACGCCTGATTGGTTACCCTCTGCATCAAGCCAAGACAAATCAATTCCGGATAATGTCAGCAGGTCCTGCTTCTACATCCTCTGCTAAGTTTAAAATGTCTCTAACCAACTCCCTGGAAAGTTCACGGAGATCCTCCATTGTCTCTATCCAGGTTGGCCTACTCTACTTCAGACCAAAGCAATGGATCAGACTAGATTCGCGTTAGCCCCGCCCACTGACTTTGATGGGTCAGTTTGACAGTTTTAAGTAATTCATGAATCACTGCAATGCAGGATCATGAAATGTAAATGTAAATAGTGAAATAATTATATATGTATTTTACATAAAATGAATCGGTATTTGAATTAATGAATGATACATTTAATTACACATTTATGTATTTAATTCTAATTTTAATTAATTAATGACACATTTAAGTAATTATTTAATGGTGTATTTATTTATTTAATTGTGGCACTTTTAGTCCTCCATAGCTACCGTTGACTATAGCCTATGGCAAATGGGAGGCGCGCTTTAGTTACGAGTTGAGATTGAGAAATAAAAATAGCTCCTTTTAATCGTGGCCGTCAAAGTTTTTAACACGCGGTTGCGTTTAGAATGTTTACTTGTTGCGCAATGAGTGGGCTTACAAAATCATGTTTCACTCCAGTGAGGAGCTACTCTGGCGCTGTCTGACAGGTGGTAGGGTATTCCGCTCCTCAAACTAGGTTAACAGAGGAAGAACAATGATTTCAAGCACCACCCTCCTTTTTAAAGCTTCCAGTCTGTTATTCTAACTCAATCAGCATAACAGAGTGATCTCCAGCCTTGTCCTCGTCAACACTCTCACCTGTGTTAACGAGAGAATCACTGACATGTCAGCTGGTCTTTTTGTGGCAGGGCTGAAATGCAGTGAAATGTTTCTTTGGGATTAACTTCATTTTCATGGCAAAGAGGGACTTCATCTGATCACTCTTCATATCATTAATATAATATAATATGCCATTTAGCAGACACTTTTATCCAAAGCGACTTACAGTCATGTGTGCATACATTTTTACGTATGGTTGGTCCCGGGGATCGAACCCACTACCCTGGCGTTACAAGCACCATGCTCTACCAATTGAGCTACAGAGGACCACCATCCTCACCATTTGCTCAAATCAAAATCAAATCTTATTTGTCACATGCGCCGAATACAATACTGTGAAATGCTTACTTACATGCCCTTAACCAGCAATGCAGTTTTAAGAAAATAGAGTAAAGAAAATATTTACTAAATAAACAAAAGTCAAAAAATAAATAATAATAATAAGTAACACAATAAAATAACAATAACGAGGCTACATACAGGGGGTACCGGTACCGAGTCAATGTGCGGGGGTACAGGTTAGTCAAGGTAATTTGTACATGTAGGTAGGGGTAAAGTAACTATGCATAGATAATAAACAGTGAGTAGCAGCAGTGTAAAAACAAGGGGGGGGGGGGGGGAATGCAAATAGTCTGGGTGGCCATTTGATTAATTGTTCAGCCTTTTGACTTGGGGGTAGAAGCTGCTCACCCATAGTTTTGGCAACACATTTACATTTACATTTTAGTCATTTAGCAGACGCTCTTATCCAGAGCGACTTACAGTCAATACATTCTAAATACATAGTAATAAATCATTTTAAGGAATTAAAAAACTCCTACTTTTGTGCCATTGATGGATAACAAATATTTCCAAACTTCAAATTATCAACTCAGACTTTGTGAAAATTAATATTTGTGTCATTCTCAAAACTTTTGACCACGACTGTACATGCTAAGGTACATGCTAAGGTGTACTGTACATGCTAAGGTTACGGTGTACAAGCTTGATTGATTACTCATTGGTCTCCTTTCACTTCTTTCTCTCTCTTACTCTGGAATTGTGGGGATATGCATGCTGTCAATTACCATACACAAAAAATGTATGCACGCATGACTGTAAGTCGCTTTGGATAAAAGCGTCTGCTAAATGGCATATTATATATTATTATAATTAATGGAAATGTCTGTATATGCACATGATTTGGATGTGGAAGGTGTCCTTTTGCGTATGACCGTCACCTAACTTATTTCAGTGTGATTGGATTTGGACCTGTTAAGCCTCTTTTTAAGCCTGCTGTTTAAATAGGCGAGTTGCCCCAACAAGTCAGCTTACAATATTGCAGTAGTATTTTAATAATGGTCTGGGTATTGTCCAAATTGTTATTTTGATCAACAACAAAAAACATGACAACCTGTGTATAAAACGTTTTTTGATATGGACAAGAATAATCCTACTTCAAGGATAATAAAATAAAAATGTACATTCTGCCCAATTGACAATGTCTCATTCCTGCTTCTGCCAAAGTCAAATTTGTATGCAAGTTTCATTTTCTAATTGGCTGTTAGCGCACTTTTGCTATCCTCATTCCTGGCTTCCTTCCCAGACGTTTGTGCTGTAGACAGTAGATGCTAAGGCCATTCACATCAGCCTGTCTCCAGGCTCTATAGGTGGGGATACATCCTTACCACTGTAGGAAATGCCCCACCATAAATTACTTTTGTCAAATGGGTGAATATTTAAATGTGCACCTTTTTTAAAGACCTTTTTAAGAAAAGTAAATGCCGAGTCATGTGTGGGCATCACTTTTTGTCGCCAGTGATTATACTTTTAAAACATCTTCTATTCCTTATGAGAATGTTTTTCTGATCGTTTTTGACAGTTGACGGGGTTCCGAATAACTCTAAAACCAAATGTTTTTTTTCTACCTTTTGTGTTATGGTTTTATTTAGCCAAACTCCAGGTCAGTCAGGGTACCCAATACCCGTATGCCTGTGCTGTGTCTCTTTTACCCGTCTCTGTTCTACCCCCTTCAGAGGTGGCAGCGGCACCTCCAGAACCAGCCCCCCCCGAGCCTTTCGACAACAGCACTTATAATAACCTTCAGCACCACAACTACAACCATTACACCTTCGCAGACCTGGACCTGGAGATGGCCAAGTACCGTCTGCCCCAGCCCTCCTCCGGCAGACCCTCCCCCAGGCACTGAGACAGCCCGTCCAGCCTGGACCCCAGGCACAATGTCCCCAGACAGCATGTCCCTGATCCCGCTGCCCAACACAACCACCCCATGTGTATTTTTTAGTATGATAGTGAATTCCCCTTGTACTTTACGATCCCTAAGACGTGCTTGTAATTCTATTATAAGAAATCTATTATATTAAACTACACAAAAAAGGGATCTGAGGCGGTGAGATTTTTTTGTACTGTTTGAGGTTTTTCTCTCGTTTTATAATAAGGGGAAATATCTAACATTTCTTCTTTGCTGGGTTCTGCCTCAGGGGGTCATGTGAATAGTGCTGTGCATGCAAATGTTTTTAATCTATGTTCTATTTTAATGACTCCCGACTTTGACTCTGTCTGATTTCACAGTACACATCCTGATGACCTAATTATCACAGCAGTACAATCACAACACTGCACATCTGAGAATGGATCTACTTTGTCTGTAATAATACATTACCCACTGATGTGGGAGGATAGGCTCCTTGTAAAAGTCACAATGTGAAGTTAATTACATTAATTTCATTGTCATAAAAGGCTTTTCATTTTGCATTGACCTCGACTAAAGAGCAGCAGTGGTTTAGATTTTTCCAGGCACTCCACCAGCAACATGCATAGACTGGGGGGCGAGAACAAGGCACACCAGACGTCACATCTCCTCCCACACTATAAATATTCATGAGCCAAATACCCTGCGTGACCATGCGCGATGACGCACCGCGACAACTGCGGATCCCGATTGCTGCAGCCGCTTGTCAGTGTGACGAAGATTGGCACTCAGGTAAGCTGTCACTCAAAATCTTTATTTTCAGTTCCCTATCAATCAAACAATCTGGGCCGCACAGAAAAAATGCTTAGGGCAAAAGCTTGGGAGGTAGTCAGGCCAGTGGAGTTAATATAGCAGTGAATAGATGGCCGGGGCCAGGGAAGATGGAAATTACCCGAGGAAAAAAATGTCGGCGTTCTAGGGGGGGTGGTGGGAGAGAGAAGGATTGTGAAAAAGCAAGGGTGAGAGCTAGAAGCAAGGCCCCAGTTTACCCCTTTCAGTTGAAACGCAGGGGAGGGTTAGGCAGCTGTCCCTCGCTCGCTTGATTGATTGTTGTGGGGCAAGATTTTAGAACTAAAATTAGAAACCCAATATTTATAAACGAATTTATGAATAGTAGTAATACTTGAATACAATGTAAATGCACATTGGATGAAATGCGCGTTTTACATGTACTTTTAATCCAGCAGCATTTTAGGTTACCTGTGAAAGCAGTAGCTAATGCGTCTCAACCGCCGCTGTAACTATGGCGCTTCTGCTAACTTCACTGTTGTAAACTAACGTTTAAAACAACGACTCTTCAGTTGGTGTTGTGGCCATGAAGGGGGTTGATGCATATTACATTTAGTACACGTTTGAGGCTGTTATCGAGTAGATTGCCAAAGAAAATTAGCAATTTATTAGCTAGTAAGCTAACTAGCTAGATAGTTGTTTTCGTAAATAAACTAGCTAACGTTAGCTATTTTGTCTAACGACCTTTTCTGAAGACGTAAACATGGCTATCAATGTAGTTAAAGTTCTCTAAAATTAAATTGTTTTACTCGACAGCTTTCCTTCATATGATTGAAAATGAATCCAATAATTGCTTGCTATTGCTAACCATCAAGAAGCTAGTTGGCTTTGTTGCAGCGATAAAAGCAAGTCGGTTCAACATGGTGGGTGATTGCCATCAGTTGTGATCATAGACATTAAAACCAGGTTATAGACATGTATGATGTTCATCGATTCGCAACATTGTCGTATCCTTGCACATGAACATAAGTCAAAGACCTGCACAAAGCAGTACATTTCGAATGCACTCGTATAAACTTGGTACATTTGTTCCCCTTATAGCCTTTGTTTCCTTAGCCTTGTATATGTAAATATACATACATGTTGTTTCATTCCCGTTGAACGGAAGACGGTACAGTCAAATAGGCAGCTGCATTATCGTGTATGTTATTGCACTACAGTGAGTAGATCATCTCTGTCAGAGCAATCCAGCATTGACATGCTCTATTCATAGACATGGTAATTAATCAAGTATTAAAGTGGGATGTAATGGTGTTTAGGCCATAAAAATATTCTTATTTATATTGTTTAGACAAGGATCACATATTTATAGCATTTGCTCTTTCAAAGAGGGAAAAACAACTCAATAGATTTTCACTGAAGCTCAGCAACTTACCCCAACCCTTCTCCATAGTGCAGTATAATTAGTCAATATTGTTAATGAAATAGAAATGTCATTTTTTTTTGTAACTTGTCCTGCTTTAAAATAATCTCAATTTATCATGAAGAGTAATTTATACTATAATTGCCTTTTTTAATTCTCAACAGTGTGTGGACCTATGTGTTTTTCTAGGTCCGCCAACATGATGGCTGCCCAGTCGGTTTCCATAGACCAGTACCTGGAGGGAGAGGAGCAGGTGGGTCAGAAGTCTGAGACCACAAGGATGGGTGTAAGGGAAGATTTGAAGTTCTTGAGTTGATAATTTGAAGTTTGGAAATATTTGTTATCCATCATCAATGGCACAAAAGTAGGGAGTTTTTTACTTCCTTAAATGATTTATTACTATGTATTTAGAATGTATTGCCAAAACTATGGGTGAGCAGCTTCTACCCCCAAGTCATAAGGCTGAACAATTAATCAAATGGCCACCCAGACTATTTGCATCCCCCCCCCACCTTGTTTTTACACTGCTGCTACTCACTGTTTATTATCTATGCATAGTTACTGTACCCCTACCTACATGTACAAATTACCTCGACTAACCTGTACCCCCGCACATTGACTCGGTACCGGTACCCCCTGTATGTAGCCTCGTTATTGTTATTTTATTGTGTTACTTATTATTATTATTATATATATATTTTTTACCTTTGTTTATTTAGTAAATATTTTCTTAACTCTATTTTCTTAAAACTGCATTGTTGGTTAAGGGCATGTAAGTAAGCATGGCGCTTGTAACGCCAGGGTAGTGGGTTCGATCCCCGGGACCACCCATACGTAAAAATGTATGCACTCATGACTGTAAGTCGCTTTGGATAAAAGCGTCTGCTAAATGGCATATTATATCATTATTATATATTATTATTATTATATATCAATGTGACTTAACTTGAGGTTTTTCCTGCTCTAGCAAACAAGTATTTTAGCGCATTTGCTCTCAATCAAAGCCATTGTTGCTTCAATCACATGGCTGGAGTTGGGATTTATGTTCTTGGAAGTGGGCCTGGCTAGCCGCTGGTTGGCAGAGTGGGAAAGCAGGAGAGGAGAGGAGGATCGCTGCTGGTTGGCAGAGTGGGAAAGAAGGAGAGGAGAGGAGGATCGCTGCTGGTTGGCAGAGTGGGAAAGAAGGAGAGGAGAGGAGGATCGCTGCTGGTTGGCAGAGTGGGAAAGAAGGAGAGGAGAGGAGGATCGCTGCTGGCTGGCAGAGTGGGAAAGCAGGAGAGGAGAGGAGGATCAAATTGGCTTCCAATCAATGAATGTGTCTGAATGAAACCACACAAAGACGAGCTTGGTGTTGCTATCGGTAAAGGCTAAATATGATATGCCACGACTCATCATTCTATTCTACCCATGTCCAAAGAGAGACTGACAACCTCTTATCATCCGCCCATTTGAGAATAATTTAGCTAGGCTATTTCCTTCCGGTTTGTACTGAGAAAACAGTCCTCCTCCAACCTATTACCAATGCCAACAAGACCAATCTTTTCTCATGTCTTTATTTAATAGTCGTTGAGGCAGGGTTCTGAGCGTTACCTAACCACTACTATTGCTCCTCACTCTGCTTTTATCTCATCTCCCTCACTCCCATGTCTCTCCAGATGCAGGGGGAGGAGCAGGCGGACGTTGATTCTAACCCGGAGCAGACGTTCAGTGAGGAGGGTTTGGCTGCAGCATCCAGTCCAGCCCTCACTGAGCCCCAGACCCCCATGGATGTAGATAAGGCTTCCATATACCGGTACACCTCCTAACTCTGTTGGCCCCCCCCTGACAAAGCTTTGGTCAACCACCACCTCAATTACTTTCAAAAAGGAAATGCTGCTGCTGCTGGCAGTCGTAGATGTTGTTGGGGGCTTATGCGCCCTACTAACGAAAATATGGAGTAAACACTACCACATGTAACGTAAAAGTAAATTCTGGCAATTTAGTGATGTCTCTTCGTGTGTGTTGCAGGCATCCCTTGTTCCCTCTCCTGGCCCTGCTCTTTGAGAAATGTGAGCAGTCTACACAGGGCTCAGACTGTGTCACGTCAGCCAGCTTCGACGTGGACATCGAGAACTTTGTCCGCAGCCAGGAGAAAGAGGGCAAAGCCTTCTTCAGCGAGGACCCTGACCTCGACAATCTGGTGACCTTCCTCGTCTGCTGTCAATACTCTTTCAATTATTTTGCATCACTATGACCTCTAGTGACACTATTCACACATTTATGCAAATGACACATGGAAAGTGAGCTACTGTTTCAGTGGAGCTGTTTGATGAAGCCAGTTGGCCACACATAAACATTACAACAGCCTTATACTAAAGTATCTACCAGTGGAATAAATCATGTGTATTTACTATAACAGACCACTATGCACATGCCATTTTCAATGCAAACGTCCTGGCCTCTCATAACGCCTCTCCCTGTACTGACCTTTGACCCCTAGATGGTGAAGGCCATCCAGGTGCTGCGGATCCACCTGCTGGAGCTGGAGAAGGTCAGCGACCTGTGTAAGGACTTCTGCAGCCGCTACATCGCCTGCCTCAAGACCAAGATGAACAGCGAGACGCTGCTGAGTGGAGAACCTGGCAGCCCCTACTCATCTGGACAGGGCTTCTCTCCCACCAAGACCCAGGTACACACACCCTGCCATACATATATATTTTGCTACCATCATACACACCCATTATGCACCCACAATACACACACCCATAATACACACACCCATTATGCACCCACAATACACACACCCATAATACACACACCCATTATGCACCCACAATACACACACCCACAATACACACACCCATAATACACACACCCATTATGCACCCACAATACACACACCCATTATGCACCCACAATACACACACCCATTATGCACCCACAGTACACACACCCATTATGCACCCACAGTACACACACCCATTATGCACCCACAATACACACACCCATTATGCACCCACAATACACACACCCATTATGCACCCACAATACACACCCATTATGCACCCACAATACACACACCCACAGTACACACACCCATTATGCACCCACAGTACACACACCCATTATGCACCCACAATACACACACCCATTATGCACCCACAATACACACACCCATTATGCACCCACAATACACACACCCATAATACACACACCCATTATGCACCCATAATACACACACCCATTATGAACCCACAGTACACACACCCTTATATACTGCTATACACACACTTGCTCTGAATCCGCAATACATAGATCACAACCTGATACTAAATACACACACACTATAGACCCATGAGGACTCCGTTTAACCTCTGTGTGTGTGTGTGTGTGTCGTGCAGACATCCAACTCTTTCACAGGAACCCTCAGTCCCCAGGGGATTGTGGTGCCAGCATCGGCCCTGCAGCAAGGCAACGTAACCGTGACAACAGTTAACCCCACACAGGTTATGGCAGGTATGTCACCCTGGCATACAACAACCACAGGTACCCTCAGACACCAACCCACACCTCAATGGGAATCATAGGGGCGGTTTCCCGGACACAGATTAAGTTTAGTCCTGGACTATATGTCAATGGAGAGGCCAGGACGAGCGAGGCTTAATGGTGTGTCCGGGAAACCGGCCCTTAGCGTACAGGTGGACTTCACTGTCTGTTTCTGTACCAGCAGTTTATGAAAATATACAAGGACTACTCTGAAAGCATTGTTGGATTCTTGTTTCCTCCAGGTGGCACAGTCTACCAACCAGTCACAGTAATCAACTCACAGGGCCAGGTGGTGTCACAGACCATCTCCCCCCAGACCATACGCATCCAGAACACACAGGTAGGACACACACATCTGGAGGCTGACATTTACTGCCCGCTGAACAACCCCCCCACACTGCCCCGCTGAACAGCCCCCCCACACTGCCCCGCTGAACAGCCCCCCCACACTGCCCCGCTGAACAGCCCCCCCACACTGCCCCGCTGAACAGCCCCCCCCACACTGCCCCGCTGAACAGCCCCCCCACACTGCCCCGCTGAACAGCCCCCCCCACACTGCCCCGCTGAACAGCCCCCCCACACTGTACCGCTGACTAGCCCCCCCACACTGCCCCGCTGAACAGCCCCCCCACACTGCCCCGCTGAATAGCCCCCCCACACTGCCCCGCTGAACAGCCCCCCCACACTGCCCCGCCGAACAGCCCCCCCACACTGCCCCGCCGAACAGCCCCCCCACACTGCCCCGCCGAACAGCCCCCCCACACTGCCCCGCCGAACAGCCCCCCCACACTGCCCCCGCTGAATAGCCCCACCACACTGCCCCGCTGAACAGCCCCCCCACACTGCCCCGCTGAATAGCCCCCCCCACACTGCCCCGCTGAACAGCCCCCCCACACTGCCCCGCTGAAACAGCCCCCCCACACTGCCCCGCTGAACAGCCCCCCCCACACTGCCCCGCTGAACAGCCCCCCCACACTGCCCCGCTGAACAGCCCCCCCACACTGCCCCGCTGAACAGCCCCCCCACACTGCCCCGCTGAACAGCCCCCCCATACTGCCCCGCTGAACAGCCCCCCCACACTGCCCCGCTGAACAGCCCCCCCCACTGCCCTGCTGAACAGCCCCCCACACTGCCCCGCTGAACAGTCCCCTCACTGCCCCGCTGAACAGCGGGCAGTGTGTCAGTCCTGTGTCATGCCAACAGTAAAGCATCCTGAGACCATTCAGTGTGGGGGGCTGTTCAGTGTAAATGTGAAAGAATATAGAAACCTAACTGTAACTCTCTTCAGCTCCAGCTGCAGCTCAACCAGGACCTGAGCTTCTTCAACCAGGACGACAGCTCACCCAAGAACAAGCGTGGCGTCCTTCCCAAACATGCCACAAACATAATGCGCTCCTGGCTCTTCCAGCACATCGGGGTGAGTAGAACACAGGCCCACTCTATAGGTTACAACCTGGAACGATTCTGGGATTTGATTGGCTTGCAGTGTTTTCATCTTGTACTATTTAAAGGAAAGGTTAACCCAATTTGAATGTTATATTGTTTTTGTGGACCTCTGAGTGATGATCTATCGATTCCCTGGGTCATTTCGTGTTTTCATGTGTAACTGAGTTATTGGCATTCAAGCAAGTTAAGCTAATTGTCACGCAATTCCTTCTCAAAGTCAGTCGTGGTCAAAAGTTTTGAGAATGACACATACTAATTTTCACAAAGTCTGCTGCCTCAGTTTTGATGATGGCAATTTGCATATACTCCAGAATGTCATGAAGAGTGATCAGATGAATTGCAATTAATTGCAAAGTCCCTCTTTGCCATGAAAATGAACTTAAACCCCAAAAAACATTTCCACTGCATTTCAGCCCTGCCACAAAAGGACCAGCTGCCATCATGTCAGTGATTCTCTCGTTAACACAGGTGAGAGTGTTGACGAGGACAAGGCTGGAGATCACTCTGTCATGCTGATTGAGTTAGAATAACAGACTGGAAGCTTTAAAAGGAGGGTGGTGCTTGAAATCATTGTTCGTCCTCTGTTAACCATGGTTACCTGCAAGGAAACACGTGCCGTCATCATTGCTTTGCACAAAAAGGGCTTCACATACAAGGATATTGCTGCTAGTAAGATTGCACCTAAATCAACAATTTTTGGGATCATCAAGAACATCAAGGAGAGAGGTTCAATTGTTGTGAAGAAGGCGTCGGGGCGCCCAAGAAAGTCCAGCAAGCGCCAGGACCGTCTCCTAAAGTTGATTCAGCTGCGGGATTCTGACAAACTTTAAGCATTGATTATGCAAGAATGGGCTGCCATCAGTCAGGATGTGGCCCAGAAGTTAATTGACAGCATGCCAGGGAGGATTGCAGAGGTCTTGAAAAAGAAGGGTCAACACTGCAAATATTGACTCTTTACATAAACTTAATGTAATTGTCAATAAAAGCATTTGACACTTATGGAATGCTTGTAATTATACTTCAGTATACCATAGTAACATCTGACAAAAATATCTAAAAACACTGAAGCTGCGAACTTTGTGAAGACCAATACTTGTCATTCTTAAAACTTTTGACTGCGACTGTATGTTGAGAAACGTGCCTATTTTCCTCGAAAGTACGTAATGTCACGATTCCAAAGCTATACGATAATACAGATAGCAAGTTAATTATCTCACATCTCTGAAAATATTTGTAATGTTGTACTTATTGTTGTTTCGAAATTTGTGCTAATGTTGTGTTTTTGAGCTAGCGCCCAATATACTCCAATTCACTCCTTGAAGGAGATCGCTCCTTGTCCCAGAATTGCCCATAGTGCACACGCGGCCCATTGACGTAGCATGGCCAACGTTTCCCATTCCGCAAAAGTATCTCTGCGGTTGCAAATGTCAGACTCCACTCTGTGAGCTACGTTATAGATATTGTCTTTGGTATTGTGTGTAGCTACGTTTGCTAGCTAACAAGCCCATAGAGAGAGCATTTCATTGTTGATTTGAGCTGCAACAGATTTCCACAACGATTTTCCATGTTGCTACCAACCTTATTATAATGCCAAAATGAAACAATTGTTCACAAAAAATATTGTTCTCACATATGATTGTTATTGAGTGGATTTTTCCTTTAATTACTTTTGTTTTATTTCTATAGCACCCCTACCCCACGGAGGATGAAAAGAAGCAGATCGCTACCCAAACTAACCTCAGCCTCCTCCAGGTCAACAACTGGTGAGTTACATGAACCCATGCCATACTGCCATGAACTGTCACCTAAGAGCATGAAATGTCATAAAGAACAACCTCTCCTAGCGTGAACCAATCAAATAATGTGTCAATCCCTTCAATTCCCTTTTAGTGATTGGTCAAACCCCTTGTTTTCCCCTCTCGTGGTTGGTCCAACCTTTCCTCCTTCTCTCGCAGGTTCATAAACGCGCGGCGGCGGATCCTCCAGCCCATGCTGGACGCCAGCTCCTCAGAGACACCCAAAACCAAGAAGAAACCGCCTCAGAACCGGCCGCTGCAGCGCTTCTGGCCTGACTCCATCGCCACGGGGATGACCCAACAACAGGTCCAGATGCCAGATGGTACGTACGGCTACTGACTTGCTGCACTGCTCATTGGATAAGCAATGCTCATTGGATAAGCAATGCTCATTGGATAAGCACTGCTGTGTATCAAGAGATGCTAGAGCTGTTGGTTATACTTGTTTTTAAAGCAACTAGGCACAACGCTTACTGTATTGGAAATGATAGCCACAAGCGCTTACTGTATTGGAAATGATAGCCACAAGCGCTTACTGTATTGGAAATGATAGCCACAACTACAATTGAGTCACAAGGCAAATTCAAGGCTCTCTTGTTAAAGCGACTTATTTCACTCAATTTGTGGGAAATAAGAGACTAGAGAAATACATGAGCTATCTGTGACGTCGCTGGCGTGTCGCTGGCGTGTCGTCTGTTCCCCAGGAACCATGGTGATGATGAGTATGGAGGGTCTCCAGAGCCTGACATCAGACGGGGCCACGCTGGCCGTTCAGCAGGTGATGATCGGCGGGCACAGCGAGGACGAATCAGGAGACAGCGGGGACGAGGACGACGACATGGCTGGGCTGGGCCTGGACAACAGTGACTCCCTGCAGTAGGACACATAGACGTACTGTACACACACATACAGAAACACAAATAGACATACACACTCAAAAGCAAACTGTGGGCTCTGTTGAAAATGTATATGGTTCAGACCTTCCACAACTGACACGTGATGTAGGCAGGCTGACAATGAATAATGCAGGCTGACAATGAATAATGTGGGCTGACAATGAATTGCGACACACACTAGAACCAAATCAGAGCCATTTTTGATGCTCTGCAAAAAATAGGATTGCTCAGATCATGTATGTACTGTAGATAGACTGATGTTGCATTGCAAGTACACAAATGCGCGCGCACGCACACTCTCAAATCGGTTTACGCAGAGCACAACCACTGGACATACGGGATCACTCCTGATGTCCCTTTTAATGAATGGAGTGTCTTGTGTGTGAGGAGTTTAATTTCAGAAACCGTTTTTACTACGTAGTCTGTGTGTGTAGGCCAGTGTTTTCTGTATAATATCATTATGTTCCAAAAGACAAAGAACGGAAGCGGCAAAAAAAAAAATCACGAAGTGTTAAAAAACACACGCTGAAGCAAGTTTGTAAATGTTGAATGATTTCTTATTTTTCATTTAATCTCTTTTTGGATGCCAACACTTTGAAGTTGTATCTGTAATGGTTTTGTTCACTTTGCATGCCTGTGTTTGACTACATGTGCCCACTCTGATTATAACTGGCTTACAGGCAGACCCAAAGGCCCAGCAGGGCCCATGGGGAAAAACTAAGGAAAGAGGCTTATTTTTATATACAAACATGAGAAGTATGTTTTTGTTTTGTTTGGTGTTCTCTTGTTTTGTTTGGAATGTTTATGCACAAAAGGTTGATTATTGAAGCTAGTGGCCCTGTTTTCCAGGGTCCAATTAAGTTTTATAAATATTGATGATAAATGAGAGAGAAAAAATGGATGTCAAATGGTTTTAAACACTATCCGAAAAAGGCCTTATTTACAGGTAGCTGCCAAAATAATGGAAACACTTAAGTAAATGAGGGATACAAAGTATATTTAAAGAAGGTGATTCCACACAGGTGTTGTTCAGGAGTTAATTAACACATTAACATCCCATCATGCTTAGGGTCAGGTATAAAAAAGCCCAGTTGCCCATTATTTTGGCTACCATGGCGAGAAGAGGTCTCGGTGACTTTGAAAGAGGGGCCTCAAAGGAGCCCAGGCGGTTTTAAAGGGTGTGTGTCTCAGTTAGCAGATCTCTACCAAATTGAACACTTATGGGAGATTGTGGAGCAGTGCCTGAGATGGCGTTTTCCACCACCATCAACAAAACACTAAATGATGGAATTTCTGGTGGAAGAATGGTGTTGCCTCCCCTCCAACAGAGTTCCAGACGCTGAATCAATGCCAGCTGTTCTGCCGGCTCGTGGTGGCCCAACGCCCTATTAAGTTGGCGTTTCCTTTATTTTGGCAGTTACCGGTATGTTCTTTTTGTAAAGACATAACTGTTGTCGAAAGCACAGAAAGCCTAACTAGCTGAAGCTACACTACCCAATGTATTTATTTGGACAGTGACGCTAAAACTTTTACTTTGGCGCTACAGCCTTTTGGATTTGAGCTCAAATGTTTTATGAGGCGACAGTACAGAATGTCACCTTTTTTATTTGAGGGTATTTTCATACATATCTCTTTTACAGTTTAGAAATGAATAATAATTATTTGGAGAAATTAACTTATTGTATAACATTTGGTTAAAATGTTGTATTTGGTCCCATAATCCTGGCATGCGATAACTACATCAATCTTGTGACTAGAAACTTGTTGGATGCATTTGCAGTTTTTGTTTGTGTTTTTCGGATTATGTTGTGCACAATAGAAATTAATGTTGAATAATGTATTGTGTCGTTTTGAGTCACTTTTATTGTAAATAAAGACTGCTACGTTAATGTGGATGCTACCATGATTACGGATAATCATGAATTAAATCGTGAATAATAATGAGTGAGAAAGTTAGAGGCATAATTATCACCCCCCCCCCAAAAAAAGCTAACCTTCTGTTATTGGTAATGGTTAACATGTTTTGGGGGCATTATATTTGTACATCTGTAGCTGCATGAAGTGCTTTCATTTCGAGACTATAATACAGCTATGTATGAAAATACCCTCAAATAAAACGTGACATTCTGTACTGTCGCCCGAATAAACATTTGATCTCAAATCCAAAATGCTGGAGTATAGAGCCAAATTAAACATTTTAGCATCACTGTCCAAATAAATAAGGACAGTACCAGTCAAAGGTTTGGACACACCTACTCATTCAAGGATTTTTTTGTTTTTACTATTTTCTACATTGTAGAATAATAGTGAAGATATCAAAACTATGAAATAACACATATGGAATCATGTAGTAACCAAAAAAGTGTTAAACAAATCAAAATACATTTTATATTTGAGATTCTTCAAATAGCCACCCTTTGCCTTGACGACAGCTTTGCACACTCTTGGAATTCTCTCAACCAGCTTCACCTGTAATGCTTTTCCAACAGTCTTGAAGGAGTTCCCACATATGCTGAGCACTTGTTGGCTGCTTTTCCTTCACTTTGCGCTCTGACTCATCCCAAACCATCTCAATTTGGTTGAGGTTGGGGGATTGTGGAGGCCAGGTCATCTGATGCAGCACTCCATCACTCTCCTTCTTGGTAAAATAGCCCTTACACAGCCTGGAGGTGTGTTGGGTCATTGTCCGGTTGAAAAACGAATGATAATCCCACTAAGCCCAAACCAGATGGGATGGTTTATCGCTGCAGAATGCTGTGGTAGCCATGCTGGCTAAGTGTGCCTTGTATTCTAATTAAATCACAGACAGTGTCACCATGATGTTGAGATGTGTCTGTTACTTGAACGCTGTGAAGCATTTATTTGGGCTGCAATTTCTGAGGCTGGTAACTCTAATGAACTTATCCTCTGCAGCAGAGGTAACTCTGGGTCTCTCATTCCTGTGGCGGTCCTCATGAGAGACAGTTTCATCATAGCGCTTGATGGTTTTTGCGATTTGAAATGTTCCCTATTGACTGACCTTCATGTCTTAAGGTAATGATGGACTGTCGTTTCGCTTTGCTTATTTGAGCTGTTCTTGCCATAATATGGACTTGGTCTTTTACCAAATAGGGCTATCTTCTGTATACCCCGCCTACCTTGTCACAACACAACTGATTGGCTCAATGCATTAAGAAGGAAATAAATTCCACAAGTTAACTTTTAAGAAGGCACACCTGTTAATTGAAATGCATTCCAGGTGACTACCTCATAAAGCTGGTTGAGAGAATGCCAAGACTGTGCAAAGCTGTCATCAAGGCAAAGGGTGACTATTTGAAGAATCTCAAATATAAAATATATTTTGATTTGTTTAACACTATTTTGGTTATTAAATGATTCCATATGTGTTATTTCATAGTTGTGATGTCTTCACTATTATTCTACAATGTAAAAAATAAAGTAAAGCCCTTGAATGAGTAGGTGTTCTAAAACTTTTGACCGGTAGTGTACCGGTAGTGAAATTAGTCAACGGAAGCTAAACTGCAGTACACTGACGTAATATGTTACATTGACAATTGCAGTTGGGATTGAAATTCAAAAATATACTTGATTGCAGTACCCTCATTTTCTACAAACCAGTCCAGTTTTGCCAGTGTGTCATGTTTTTTAAAATCATTTATAATAGCTCTATAGATGTCACTCTTTCAAGTGCACAATTCAGTAATACTACGCTTATTGTAACCGTCACAAGGAACTGAAATAGATATTATGCTACTTAGGCAGACAGATCCACAACACAGAGATACAGTACAAATGCAATCACAGTCTAAAAACCATGGCTATGTTGCATGCATTATTCTTTATTTATGTACACATATTGCATTAGAGGCAGAGAGCGGTTGGGATCCTCTGACCTCACAGGCAGCACATTGGTCCTCAGTTTGAGAAGGACTGGAGTACTGTGGCTGATCTAAGGGCCAGCTTTTAAGAATGTTTTCCAAACTCTCCATCTGCTATTCTAACATTATTGCACAAGTCAGGGCCTTTATTGTTGGGAAAACCTGCACCAAATGTACTGTATATTTCCGATCTTTATGCTTCTGTTTTCTGTCATTCAGAAGACCTGACATGAGATTTAGATCCCCACTGAGTGTTTCTGGCTCGGGGTCAGGTGGGTCTCAGCTGCACTCTCTCACATCTCTGCTGTTGTTTTTAATCTACTGTTCACTTTTCTCTGTCTGTTTGCCTTTTAGAGCTTTCTATTTTGGAATAAATGATGCCTGACCTCTACTGTCGTGCTCCTCTGCCTTCATTGTGCTTGGTTGTAGACATGATTTGTGACAAAAGTCAACCCCACGCAGGTTATGGCAGGTATGCCAACATGGCATACCACACACCCTCAGACGCCAAGCACCACCGCAGGTTATGGCAGGTATGCCAACATGGCATACCACACACCCTCAGACGCCAAGCACCACCGCCCACCCTCACCTTGATAGATGATATGACAGGGCTGGGCCTGGACAACAGTGACTTCCTTGCTGTAGGACACACACCTATAGACGTATACACTCATAAACAAACTGAGTGTGCTCTGTTGAAAATATATATGGTGGTGGTGGTGGCTCAAACCTTCCACAACTGACCGTCAGGTCTATAAATATTTGGACATTGACCAAGTTATTATTATTGTAGCTGTCTACCACAGCATATTGGAGTTGAAATTCAATAATGAATATCAGCTGAAAGTGCAGACTTTCAGCTTTAATTTGAGGATATTTACATCCAAATCAGGTGAACGGTGTAGGAGTTACAGCACTTTTTATATGTGGTCCCCCCCTCCCCTCTTTTTAAGGGACCAAAAGTAATTGGACAATTGGCTGCTCAGCTGTTCCATGGCCAGGTGTGTGATTGGCTGCTCAGCTGTTCCATGGCCAGGTGTGTTATTCCCTCATTAGTTAATTTACAAGGAAGCAGATAAAAGGTCTAGAGTTGATTTCAAGTGTGGCATTTGCATTTGGAATCTGTTGCTGTTAACCCTCAATATGAAGTCCAAAGAGCTGTCACTGCCAGTGAAGCAAGCCATCATTAGGCTGAAAAATCAAAACAAACCCATCAGAGAGATAGCAAAAACATTAGGTGCGGCCAAGTCAACTGTTTGGTACATTCTTAAATAGAAAATACACACTGGTGAGCTCAGGAACAACAAAAGGCCTGGAAGACAACGGTGGTGGATGACAGAATAATTATTTCTCTGGTGAATAAAAACC